CTCCATGACTTTAAAAAGTGTGAGTTCTTAGTAAAGAAATGGGACAGCAAGGAAGAAGACGTCAGTTCAGAATGTAAAAAGATACAATTGTTATTTATGGCTCACACTATTCTATGTACAAAACTTTACATGAGATTTTCAAACGACAGCTGTACCCGAGGAGACAGTTCAGAGACTGAAAGATAACTTGAAGGAGTTGGACAGATATCTAGGACCGTATCCATATGGAATTTGGAAACAATGGTCGGAATTAACGAGCAAAATTAACGTATCTCTCATAGAGAGATGTTCACCATTATGCGGGTAAGCAAAAACACGAATTCTGTTAACGCAAACAATGAAGCATTCCCAAAACGTTCCTTCTAGCTATGTACGATCTGCGTTGGAATTGGAGCATTGTAGCGACGCTTCAAGACCGCGTGGTGGAGAGTCTGAGACCAAAAGACAAAGAAGATCTGGCAACCTCACAGCAGAGGACAAGGAGAAGGAGCTGTTACCGGATCTAAAACCAAAGCCTGGCACGGAACTCAGACTCACCGAGATACCGGATAAACGTTATCCTGACAACGCGACACCTAGCGAGATCACGCGGCATTCCCTCGACTCCAGTTACATACTGAGTGCTATTCTGAGAAAATTACGAGAGTGAGTTTTGGAAATATCACTTATCATTAATTATGACGGCAACGTGATACTCCTTCGAGTAACTTCGAATTTTCGTACCAGCTGATATCGCATTAACTGATTCTGTCTTCTATTTTTCTAATGCGTCATATATATATACGATATTTCATATTCAATACCAAATATATATATATATATATATATAATATGTATCATACATACCATATTATATATGGTATATCATGATATTTAAGTATCTTGAAAATAAGGAACTTGATATATTCGGGTACTTTTTGATACTCGAGTAGTTGAACACTGGAATATTGACATCGCTATGCAGGAAACATGATAATGAGAAATCACCGGCGTACTTTTTAGGCCTGTCGAAATCATCGGCGAGATGCAGTTAACGTTCATCTGTTTCCTGGCCGGTCAGAGTTTGGACGCGTTTGAACAGTGGAAGAAACTCGTGTCGCTGATCTGCGACGCGGACCATGCGATCCCTCAGTATCGCTCCGTCTACATGGAATTCCTACAGGCTTTGGAAGTGGAGTTGTCACATGTACCAGAGGAGATACTGTGCGACATCGTGGCGAGCAACAATTTCGTGTATCAAAAATTATGCAAATTGTTCGGTAACATCGAGTCGAATGCCGAAGTGGATGGCCGGCTGAAGTCCTACGCGAAGCGCTTGCAAAAACGATTGACTGCCAAATTTCTGTGGGACTTTTCGAACTTGCTCGAGGACGCGGACGATGAGGCACCCGTGGTCGTGACTCTGGCGTGAGCGCGAGCAAACGCTAGATACGTGTGCGAATATATCTTTGTATTTTCTTTTTACTCTATCATACTTGTAACATCGATGTAATTTATAAATAATCGTAAACAAATGGTATGAAAACTCGTTATGCGTCTATACATGTAGACAAAGTTTTATCATCATTAGATTATACTAATGTGTAGTAAACTTTGTTAATATAATAAATATAAAGCACTAAAATGTCTTTCCTGTTATTTCCCTTGAATAAAAAAACATGATGCAATTCATTACTTTAGTGTGGATGCGATTATTTTTGGACTTATCAACAATTACCGAAGGAAGAGACATATAGGCTGCGCTCCGATATTCACTGCCAGTACTGAAAATATATAGTTTATGTGTCACATATATTATATAGATTTTCAGTGCGCAGCCATAATATGTTAGATTCATAATATATATAATAAAACGTACTTTTTATGTAAAAACAGTCAAAAAAGAAATTTGTGTTTCCGCCCGGGATCGAACCGGGGACCTTCCGCGTGTTAGGCGGATGTGATAACCACTACACCACGGAAACATTTGACGTGAGAGTCTCTTGTAGAGTATATTCAGTGATGAATATATTCTAAAAAGCATTAAAAAGTTACCTAATGTCCGAAATAACGAAGATATAATTTTATCATTAGCATTAAATTGGAAAAAATAAAAACTTCAAAATGTCTTCAAATTAAAAATGTTCGCTTTTCTTCTTAAAAAATAAAAATTCCGCTTTTGGAGAAAAATGGACAATTATCTTAACATCGCTGTGAAATCGCGATGATAATGACATCTCTTGGGCGAAATTCGCGGGAGAGCGGGAGATCGAGATTACTCCGTGGCTTGAAGCTTACAGTTGGCCAACACACATGTGTACGGCTTCCTTACCAGTTTAAACAGCGTTTGTTTTTCTTTAATAGAAATTTGATGACAGAGAGTCTTTCTCCTCCCTCTATTTTTTTATTTTTCCCTCTTGTTGCAACTGTGTTCTGTCGGGAAAACGTCAATTCCGCAAAAATTCAATATTCGACTAAGAAGAATTTATGTACGTGTCACAAAGAGATTCAGAGAACGCAACTTTGTTCATTGTACCTGATGTTTATAGTTGACACGATTATCCGTGAATTTGTTGAATAAACATAATGGAACGCTCAAAAAGGCTGATGATCGATGAGGGAGAGCCGAACGTTCTCGAGCCACTTCTGACAAGAGTCGATCAGCAAGAGCTTATACGCATTGACAAAAACGAGGTAAAACAAGCAGATAATCGAAAGATCATTTTATATCGTTTACATAATTATCAATTATATGTATGAATTCGTACATGTTTCTAAGATGTAACTTTGTCTCGTAATAGTTTAAAATTGGTCGCGCGAGGGACAATGATGAAATCATATTGGACATCACAGTATCCAGGAGACATTGTATATTCAGATGTGAAGGTCAAAGCGAATGGACTGTGAAGAACTTAGGTTCCTCATCAACAATTGTTAATGGCATCATCATCCAGTCAAGAGTGGCACAAGAAGTCCATTCTGGTGATATAATACAATTTGGTTCTAATGCAACATATAAGTATGTGTTCAGTCTTGCTGAAAGAGGACACTGTGTTAAGAGACAACGTTTGGACGAGAAAGTCCTTGACACTATGCTTATCAAACAAAGGACCTTTGCTGAAAACCAAGAGTGTCAGAAAAAGGAACTCAAAGACAAGCTTGAGATAAAACATAAAGAGCAAATAGAATTGAGACAACAGCTTGAAGAGCTATTGTCACAACAAGCAGCTGCCAAAGATGACAAAGAAAATCTAATCAAACAGATCACAACATTGGAAAGCAAAATAGAGGCTGGTAATGCACAAGAGCAACACTTACATAGCATATATTCTCAATTATTGGAGAAACTGGAAAATGAAAGGAAGCAGTTTGAGACAAGGATAAATGAAGAAAAACAAAAATGGCAAGAGGCATTGGAGATGAGTAAGCAAGAGAAAGAAATGGTGGAGATAAAGATGAAGGAGCAAATGGAAAGTTGGAGAGAGCAACAACAAACAGAATGGAAAAAGATGATGGAGAGCAAGGTAAATGAAGAGAAAACAATTCAGGCTCAATTGTTGAACGAGAAGAATATACTAGAAGAAAAACTAAAAGAGACAGAAAAAGCGTTAAAGGAACAAGAGGCAAAAGCTGAAACCTCACAAGCAATGTTGAATGGTATGTCTCGGCAACTTTATCATGTACAATACAAACACATTTGTATGTTGAATGTCAAACTGAAAATCTTTCTCAGAGTCTTGAACATTTTTTTTAAATTATCTTCTATTGTATAACTTAATTAATAATATTTTTAAAAATTAATATTACTGTCTGTAGGTATAAATATATAAGTTATTTACAATTATATATGTATTAAATAAATATGTAATCATTTGCAGCAAGAGTAAACTGTACTCATTGAATGCTATTGTGAAAGGCATGTATTTTACAAACTACTGACTTCCTTGAATTTATCGTTTTAGCAAGCATGATATCTGAATCCACTGCCAGTTCGTCAGACTGTATATTCGTGGAACTCGTAGATGTGAATCAATCTACAGGATTTCATGTATTAGACACAATTGATTTAACCGGATTCAATCAGAACATAGAGACAAATACCAAAGATGATGTTCTCGAGAAAGTGAGTGATATTATGGACGAACAATTGACATGCAGCATATGCTCAGAATTGTTCGTGAAAGCAACGACCTTGAATTGCACACACACGTTCTGTCATCATTGCATAAACATGTGGTGCAGGAAGCGGAAGGAATGTCCAGTCTGCAGAAAATCGGTGATATCGATGAATCGATCGTTGGTGTTAGATAATTTTATTGAGAGTATGATTGAAAACCTGCCAACTGAACTGCAGAATAAGAGAAAGGAGATTTTACAAGAAAGAAAAAGTGAGCATATACTTTTTAAATTTAGTGTTGATGAAATAAAGCAGTATCGTTTTATCCTTGATTCTATTTAACGAATGACATTGAACAATGTTGTGATCTGTTTGATTAGATTCTCTTTGCCATCTTTAGTAGCTACTTGTGATAATAATTCCTCAAATTATTGTCTTAATTCTATCTGCTCTTTATGTTTTATCTCAAGCTTGTCTTTAATTAATGGGGCAAATTTTTTATATCAATCTAATATCGATCGATTTATAATCTTTGATACTTTATTGTTATATTTCAGTTATTGAGAGGAAGAAACGTCTTTGAAGCATGAATCGCTTGACGAGACAGAGATAAAGAAGAGAGAAAATAACAATATTAAGGGTTAGTTGTAAGAATATATATAAGTTATTACTGTCTGATTCACCTGCAAACTGTACATTTAGTATTTATACGTTTAAATACGATACATTTCATGTATTTATACGTTTTAGAATTTCATTTTATTTTTGTAAGGAACCTCCGAAATGTTTTTTTTTTGTCGTTTTATTGTTTGTATTTGTTATTGCGTAACATTGGAACATTGTGCACAAAGTTGTATATTTCTTTTTTTTTTTATAAAGCCTATTGATTTCTATGACTGTACATTTTTTCATTCAATGTGTACAAAATCAATATCGCTGAGTAAAATAAAATTGCAAGTATTCATATATGCACATAATATGCAACATTATCTATCAATTCCATTTGTCTGTAAATGCGATATCGCTCTCGCGATTAAAAGCAATGAAGGATTTTATTCCTCGAATGAAATCTATCAACGACTCAGCTGGGTATTATTCGAGTAATTTTTCACGCAAGAATATTTCAAATAAAGCTTCATTCGTTTATTCACGTCAATTATTAATCAATGTTTGTATTGTTCATTGTTCGTTATTTGTATTAGTCATTCAGATAACATAACATGATTTATATCGTTATTTCAGTTGACGATAAAGCAAAATAGTTATTGACAAAATTCTCGAGAAAAGTATTGCGCTAAAGAAGTTCCGAATGTTCGCGAAACGTCAGAAATAAATTCAAAATGGGTGCTGCACACACGCATTTTGATGTAAAAATATCGTTATATATTATAGATTCTCTTCCAATATTATTAATGAGCTTTGATTTTAAATATGTAATAACAAATATTTTATTATTTCTCACACAGAATACATCGTCAAGAATATCAATGCATTACATAATTTTTATGTATTACCTATATATGTATTTTTTTAATATACTGCTTAATAATTTCTTATAAAATTAAACTGTTTAATTATACAATTATCTATTCCATGGAAAATTTTTCTATGTGAATAACAAATATTAAATTTGATTAATTCGAGCGATTGAAAGCTTAGACAGAATTGCATGATAGAAATGCATAAATAATACAAGTAATCACCCGAATAAAATTTTGCTCGCAAATATATTTCACGAACTTTCGATTGGGTAAAAAGATTACTTTACGATGACAAATGAAAAGTTTAATTTCTTGTTTCGCACTTCTGGTTCGCGGCCTTGCCCAACTCTGTTCGACATTACATGGGTCTGCCCATACCGCGCCCCATCGGCGGCGCATCCTGAGTGCTCTTTGGGTTCTTGATAGTTTCGTCGACGGATAGTATGAGACACGCGGCCTCGGTCGCGGCGGTCAGCGCGTTGATCTTCACTACCGCGGGCTCCCAGACGCAGTCTTGCATGTTGTCCGCAATGTCCTCTGAGTTAATGTCTACGCCGTACCAATGCATGCCCATGTGATGTTTTTGACGTAGCTTATTCAGAATATTTGTCGCGTCGAAGCCGGCGTTGTCACAGAGTTGCCTATAAACACAATAGTTTCTCATTAATAGACGAATTATAGTTGTACTAGTAGTTACAGTCAACGAATCTTTATGTATAAATTTATGAAAAAAAAAAGAACTTTTAGATATTATTGCTACTAAAATTATATTATCACAAATATCACTACTAAATGTAAAAAATTGCTTTGATCTACTTAAAATTGCTTTTCTTCAACTTTTAAAAATTAGTTTATAAAAATTTTACATATTTATTTTATAAATCTTTTTAATTTATAAAACTTATAAATTTGTAGATTTCACGGTAAGAGACTTACGATCATTCTCTTGAACATACCTCGGTATAACTTCGAGAGCTCTCGCAATCGCCCCGATCAGAAGCTGCTCTTTACCGGCGATGGTGCGAGAATAATCGCGCAGGGTCTTGGAGAGCTCCATTTCGATCGCGCCACCGCCACCAACCACTGCATCATTCTTTACCATGCGTCTGACGACCATGATTGCGTCATGGAGAGATCTTTCAGTTTCTTCGAGGAATTGCTCAGCGCCACCGCGCAAAATGAACGTACATGTTTTCGCTCGTGAGCATTCGCAGAAGATATTGAATCTGAAAAGTATATTCACGACTGGTTAAATATGACATGCAATATCAACAATTAAAATAATCTTCCGGAAATCAAATTCTTGGACTCTGGTCACGTCCGAAATGATTTTTAGAATCACTAGTGCTATTTCTAACTGAAAAATGTTTATCAGTTTGAAAACAATTACCTCTCGCCACCAATCTGCTTCTCCTCGAAGGTCTGGCATTGACCGAGATCGGATTCCTTGATGTCATGCACCGTTGACAAGATCGCGCCGCCGCACGCTTTCATCGTCCTCTTGAGGTCTTCGTCGGGGACTCTGCCGGCGCAGAACATGTCTCTATCCGCAAAATATTGCGTCGCGACATCGCCAATCGGCAACTTCGATAGTACAACTTTTGCGCTGCTCTTATGAATTTGATCGAGTTTGTTGTAAAGTATCTGCCACTCGGCGTCGACGATCCGCTGATATTCTGCCACGTTATCTACGCGCACCTCTGCGTTGTCCCTCTCAGCCTTCAGTTCCAACTCTATGTTCAGCAGCGCGATCTTGCACGACTGATACTTCTTCGGCTGCATTTCGAATCCGGCGTAAGAGAAGGTCTTTTTGAAGGCAACTCCTTGGATTAGTTCCGAATCTTCCAATGCACCACCGGAGACCTGAAAGATATTGTTGTTTATATATATTAGAAACACATTGAAACTTCAACACTGAAATCTGGTTTAAAACCTAATTAAAAATCATATGTGATCACCTTCTTAATGCCGATCATGTTGAGCGGAAGCAAGTCATCCAACATCAAGACAGCTTTAACGACCAGTTCGCTGAAGTGTTTCTTCTGCTGGTGTATCAGTTTCGAGCTCATCGATGTAGCTGCGCATTCTTCCAGGAGATTTATATGCTTACTGAGATCGCTTTTGTCTATTTTTACACTCAGCTCGTTTATCTTGTCCACAGCTAATCGCAATGCACGACGAAGTGCTTTGATTATTATGCGTGGATGCACACCTTCTTCTATGAATGGTTTCATTTGCTTCAAAAATTCTCCTGCCAACAAAACAACGCTGGTCGTACCATCTCCTACCTATTGAACAATGATACAAGTTAGATTTCTGCATGATATATAAATATACTTTCAGTTTAATTACTCTCTCTAAACAAATGAATATATTTCTTACTTCTACATCCTGTGATTTTGCAATATCCACCAAGATCTTTGCAGCTGGATGAATAATATCCAGCAGTTTTAAGATGGTAGCACCATCATTGGAGATGGTACTCTTCCCATTCTGATCCACTATAAGCTTATCCATGCCGCGAGGACCCAAAGTGGTCCTAACAGCATCCACAACAATCTGGCATGCATTTATATTGGATATCAACTGTTGCTTTCCTTGAGAGGCATCCGTACCTTCTTTCAGTAGGATAATTTGAGGTTGCTATATGAAATTAATAGTAAAAAGTTATAAAGAATAAATATTAAATTTTATCATAAAGAATGAATTTTTATAATAAATTTTAAAATAGAGGACAAATATTAAAAGAAAGAAGAATATTAAATTTTACATTATAAGTACACACATGTCAGAGAATTTCTGAGAGAATGTTTCCTCATATTTTTATATTTCACAAGCTTGAAATGTATACTATTTACATAAATGTTTGAACAATTACAAAATCAAAGTAAAATTATAACGATAAAATTTCTTTCATTTGAGATTATTTTTAACACAACTGTTCTTTGAAAATTATGTTAAAAATAATCTCCAAGGAAACAGATTTTATCGTTATAATTTTACTTTGATTGTATCGTTAAAATCGATTATATTGCTAACACGCCATGTGCATACGTGTGTGCGTGTGCGTGAGTTTGGTAGTGGCGAAATGACTCCTTATAAGGTTACATCAGATCAGTGAAACTGACAAATCATGCAAAATGCAACTAAATTGGACTTTTCTGTAACGAACATTCTTCATCGTAAAAATGTAATGTAGAATAAAATCAGATTGCAAATGAAGTAAAATGTATAAATCATTGTCCTCGATCTCCTCTATCGACATAAAAAACGTCTTCTGTGAAATGTAGCTGTGTAAGTGAATGATGCATCGATAATTATCCATTGGACTTATATCGTTTCATGGGCTAAAACTCACCATTTTGTGGCTTTTTTTCTTGTCAAAAATTACTTCTCGGTGCTTTCAAGTAAATTATTTCTTTCACACTTCGACCACGCCGATAAAATTGACCAAGAGTACGAAACCAACAAGAGATGAACAACCTCCGCTTAGATTTCCAGTATATATATAGTTAGTAGTGACCTCTTGCGGAGAATCGCAAAATATGTAGCATTAAGGGTCTTCAGAAATCTCTTGTGGAGACATACAAAATAAGCAAAAAATGTTCCGTCTTTTTATCAAAATACAGAAAAATTCACCTTATAATTATTTGTAATCAAGATAATTGTATACAAAAGACGGAAAACGTCTTTGTTTATTTCACATGTCTCCAGGAAAGGTCTCTGTAAATCTACCTAGACTCTTAATGAAAAATAAATTTGAATGATAACGAATTCATATATCGCGTTTGATGTTGGTCATCATTGTAACGATCACAATAAAGTAAAGAAACGAAAGGGAAAAGAAAACTTCCATTGTAAATGTTGTTATAATTGTTTTATTCAAATATACTAAATTTTCTTTTATATTTATATAAAAAAGATTAACATATGATTAAAATATACAAGAAAGCTAATTATTTAAAATAATATACTATCATTGTAAAAAATATTTTCAGTTTTCATTTATTCTTTTTCATTCATTTTTCATTGTAACATTAAACATCTTCATTAGACTTTATTAGACATCTTCAGGATGCTTCAGTGTAAGGTATTCTGCTTATACTGCTTATACTGCACCTATTATATTATTCGTATTTTTGACACAATTTCATTCAGATGAAATTGGGCTAATAATATCCACATCCGAATAATCTGTCATTATTTAAAAACAATTTTTTAACACTTTATGTAAATGCAGATTCAATACAAAGTAAAAATTTCATATGATTCTACAATGAAGTAAAGTTTGTTAATCGATTATTCCAGAAAAATGTATTGCAAAATCGTACTGAATAGATTAGTACATACGATGTACTTAAATTTTCTTGCAACAGGCTTCATGTTTCTGGATTCTATTTGGCATGAAGGATCTATTGCATTTTTTGCAAGGAACCAGTTGTGCCACATGTTGCTCCCAATCAACTTTGTCTTCCACATCTTCATGATTTCCTAAATATAACAATAACACCTAGAAAATTGTTTCCTTTTAATATTAAAAAAGAATAACATACTTTTGATATTAAATGATGCAACTAATATTTGAGGTGATCTAGACAACTTTGATTGTTGTGTATTCTTATCAATGTGATTTTTATCTTCAAGTTTTATAGTGTTCTTTGTTGGAGGTGTACGTGATAATTGATGTCTCGGTTTCATTGGATTAAACTGGTCCTAATACGGAAAAAAAAGAAATCATTAAATATATTATAGCTCCATGAACAAATGCTAAGCTGAAAAAGAAACATCTTTATCTTTGTGAACTTATTTCTTACTATCTTGTCATTTGCAATTTTGTCACTTGCTAAAATGTTTTTTGTTGTCATAACATCTTTATTCTGTGTTAACTCCTCTGGCTTCTTTGGAGTATTCATACCATTCAAAAAAATATTCTCTTTATCTTTCTGATCTATTTCTTGTCTTTGATCTTCTAATTTCTGCAAAATATGATAAAAATTTCTTAGAAATGTTCTAAATAATAAGGAAATATTCAAAACAATAAATGTTACCTGATTTTGACAAACTTCACTGTTGCATTCACATGATGCCGTGCATTTATTATTTTTCTTGACGCAACTGCATCTTTTTGATGCACAATTACCTTTACATCCGCAAGTAGTTACTTTAATATTAACAGATTTTGTAGAGATTGATACATGTTGTTTGAGAACATCATTTTCAAGTTGTAGAAGTTTAACTTGTTCTTGCAACTTGGTGACCTCAGTGTACATATCAAAATTCATGGTCTGGGTAGATACGTTTTTTATTCTATGAAAAAAATTAAGTTACTGGTAAATATTAAACAAAGATAAATATTTAAAAAGAAAACTATGTTGATTATATATATTGATATATTTTTTTAAATAAAATATATTGATATATGTAATTTTTGAAATAAAATATATCAATATATATTAGCTATATATATTGATATATTAATATATTTTTATTTTGCTCACAAACAATAAAGTATAATTTTTTCTGAATATCCAAATTTCTATTTTCTGGATTATCAAATCTCTTTCTCTCTCTCTCTTATCTATAAATACTATACATCATTATCATATATCAATTATATTATATATCGATAAAATTATTTTGCTCTTTGTTTGCAGCAGAATAAAGTAATTTTCTAATTATGAAATTATTTTTCCTTTACCTGGATGTGTTTGTTGACTTTTTGGTTTCTGCATTTTTCGGTTTTACTCTCTTCATTTTTATATGCCTAGTATACTAACAATGTTTTGTGATGTATTAATTATAAATATGCTTATCCACAATTACAATTGAAAATGTTTCTTAAAGAAAATAAACGCAAAACGTGATAAACACTAGAGCAAAATAAGAGTGATCACACAACCATCCGGAAAACGTTTTCGTATGTCGCACGTACATAACTGACCTCACAACTGACAGTTGACATATAAAATCAAGGTTGTGCGCATGCGTACGACATTCGACATGTCTCCCGACTGTTGTGTGATCAACCTTAGCAACGGATTTAAATAGTTGATCCAACGGTTATAGAGTTGGACGATGGTAAGGTAAAAATAACATTTTTTTCATCAAATCTATCAAACTAAAACTCGCAATCATGAATGCGTTGAAAGAAAATTGTAGTGTTGCGAATCTGCTCTAAATATACATTCCATGTAGAGATAGACGTTGTTGAAGAAAATAATTGGTTTCCAAAATATCGATTAGAAAGTGTATCAACTTTTCATCATCGATGAAATTTAAATATCATTAATTCTCATTCAATTAAATCGATTCAATCGATTAATGTGAGTTTTTTTAGTAATAAACTTTATCTATTAAAGATAAAGGTCTCCTTAAACTTCCTTAAAACTTCACATTGTATCTTTATTCTCATATATAATCCTTTTTACTAACATTATTTGGTACTTTTGTACGGTCGCGGACATAATAACAAGTGTCCGTTTTTTGCAACTTTCGGAACGCATCCCAACTCGAGAAGAATGAGAGTCACTGCTCCGCCTGCGGAGCACGCCTGCGCAGTGATTCACAATGAAAGGCGAGAAATTAAATATACGTGGTGGGACTTATTATAATAATACAGACTCAGATGAAATGAATACTCCAGCATTAAATGGAAATGTGGGAACATAGAACAGACAAGAATCATCCGATGTAAGTCTTATACTCCGGGGGACATCCGAAAAAGGTAGAGATAAATAAACATGTTTATGTTTTTAAAACAATACGAACTTAATTAAGAGAATTAAGCTGCATTACGATAGTTACGATTCTGTTATACATTTATATGTGATTTATTGTTTCAACAACAGCCATCTTCATTTCCATTTAATGCCGGAGTATTCATTTCATCTGAGTCTGTATTATTATAATATATCCCACCGCGTATATTTCATTTCTCGCCTTTCGTTGTGAGTCACTGCGCAAGCGTGCTCCGCAGGCGGAGCAGTGGCTCTCATTCTTCTCGAGTCGGGATGCATTCCGAAAGTTGCAAGAAAACGGGCATTTATTATTATGTCCGTGACCGGACATTATGTCCGTGACCGTGCTTTAAACTCCGTTTAAAGCAAGTTGTGGAACTGGGCCTAAGGAACACTGTGTTAAGCCACACGGTGCTTGTTTTCGTGCTGGATTGCTTGCTGGATGAAAATACTACGTTCTGATCGGTATATTTCCATCCATCTTCGAAAATGTACCAATCACAATGCAATATTTTCATCCAGCAAGCAATCCAGTACGAAAACAAGCACCGTGTGCCGCTGGCTTTACACTGGCCATCTTCCAGCAAGAAACGCTGTGTTACACAAAAATATTTTATTGGCTATGCATTATCTAAAAAGATGTTGTAGATAATATATAGCCAGTAAAACATTAATAAGTAACACAGTGTTCCTTAATTGGAAAACGCCTACACTAGTGTTTTACTGGCTACATATTATGAGCCTTCTACAATAAGCTATTAGTCATAAGTTGTAACCAAATTGACTAAGGCCGGTATTCATAGTCGGATCTAAAGCCAGTGGCACACGGTGCTTGTTTTCGTGCTGGATTGCTTGCTGGATGTAAATACTGCGTTCTGATTGGTATATTTTCGAAGATGGATGGAAATGCACCAATCAGAATGCAATATTTTCATCCAGCAAGCAATCCAGCACGAAAACAAGCACCGTGTGCCGCTGGCTTTATATTTAAGACCGTCTAAAATTCATCTTCAGATGCTGTACAAATTATTTCATTGGCTACGAAGTATCTGAAGATAAACTTAACGCGGTCTTAAATATAAAACCTGACTATGAATACCGGCCTAACCACAGTCGATTATTTAGTTTCCTTCATGTGATAAGCCCTAAACACAATGCCAGGCAACAGGCAATAAGAATAAAAATAGACCAATCACAATCGATTATTACAAGAATAATCTATTGTGATTGGTCTATTTTTATTCTTATTGCCTGTTGCCTGGCATTGTGTTTAGGGCTATAGAATACTCCTTCTTTTTTAAAATCACTAAAACGATTCTAGTAACATCAAGCAAAGATCTATTCATCTAGAGAATAACCAAGATGGAAAAACATTATAGGATAATCGATTTTGTAAGTTAAAAATAATCGATGTAGAAATAATCGACGTGATCTTCTATCCTTATTTTCATGATGAATAGCGGAAAAATGGCGTATGGACAAAGCTGAATGTAGTCCAGAGCCAGCAAAGAACTATTACTACTACTTACAATGAATACACAAAAAATCTACATAGCCCTCGTCGATGCGAGCTCTTATCATTATCATAAATATTCCAGATATTTTGTATTCCGTGTTTTCAGGACTAGTAGAGTCTAGATTCTTCGAGATTGTTAAAAACGCGAGGTGCTAGAGGTGAGCTTGTAGTATTTTCTATCCTATTCTTTATATTACAGAACATAGTAATTTTCAATAATATAATTTTCCGATCCCCCATTATTGTTTAATTATTATTTCTTTAATTATTATTCTTTAATTATTATTTTTATAATAAAATTTAGCTCGTAATCGTTTTTTTACATGCATATTTTATATACTTGTACAAAGATGATAAAATCCAATAGAAAATAAAAATGAAAACAAGAAACCTTTGTTGTAAACATCACAAATTATTTAATCTTAACTCTAATAGATTGACTCTTTTCTATGTGATGTTTTATATATTATATTCAAAACCTGATTTTTAAACTCCTCTAGAAAAACAAGACGCTATTTTGGGGATGTCAGCAGACAAGATAATTATCAATTGCTTTTATATAGTTTATAATTGAAAAATCAGATTATATAATCAACTCCATTGTTTATAAATTTCTTAATTTGGGTATTAAAATATAATTAGTCCTTTTCTAATTTAAGACATCTGTGTAAAGTTAATCACAATTTAACTTCTGAAAGATCAAATTAATAAAGTTGAGCAATGATACTTGCAAATAATTATACTTGCAAATAATTTTTTATGTATATTTTATATATGGATCATAATATATCTACATTAGATAGGTTTGATCCTTTAAGCTTTATTGAATGAGATTTAAGATTAATTGCACTGTTGCAGGTGGCAATGGGTATGTTGGAACTAAAACAAAGTTTAAGCGGGCACAGGGGTAGAGTATGGAATGTCTGCTGGCATCCTAAAGACGCTAATCTAGCATCTTGTGGCGAGGATAAAACAATCATAATATGGGGTCTAGAAGGACTCAAGTGGGTTACAAAAATGATTCTTACTGAAGGACACTCTAGGACCATTCGTGAACTTACCTGGTCTCCCTGTGGTAATTATATTGCATCTGCGAGTTTTGATGCAACTACTGCAGTGTGGGACAAAAAGTCCGGTCAATTTGAATGTAACGCGACATTAGAAGGTCACGAGAATGAGGTGAAGAGTGTTAGTTGGTCGGCCAGTGGTCAACTACTTGCTACATGTAGCAGAGACAAATCTGTATGGGTGTGGGAAATAAATGACGACGAGTATGAGTGTGCTGCAGTTATCAATGCTCATCTTCAAGATGTGAAGAAGGTATGTATTGTGAATTAATTTGTTAGACAAACATTTACATTGCGTGTCTATGACTCAAGTATATATTAATTAGATAGGCATAAGAAAAAAATTCGTCGTATGTCAAGTAAAATAGAATGCAAAATTATCTAAAATCGGAGAATTAATAATTCTCACCAGTAAAATGAATAACATTGATTTTTTTTAGACTTAGGAGAATTTAATAAAAGAATGATCAATTCGATCGATGAGAGGAAGCTAAATGAAAGAAACTGCGAAAAAATAAGAACAATTCGCTTCCACACTTTTAGGTGAGGTGGCACCCGCACGAAGAGATCTTGGCCTCTGCCAGTTACGACAACACCGCGCGGATGTTCAAGGAAGACGCAGCTGACAACGACTGGACGTGCATCGCAACTTTGTCGTCCCATACATCCACGGTGTGGAGCCTCGCGTGGGACAAGAGCGGCGAACGCATCGCTACGTGCAGCGACGACAAAACGGTCAAGATATGGCGAGAATATAAGCCGGGAAACGAGACTGGCGTCGCCACGCCGAACGACGAGCCAGTCTGGAAGTGTGTGTGCACGCTATCCGGCTATCATACAAGGACCATCTACGACATCGACTGGTGCAAAACCTCGGGTTTATTAGTAACTGCCTGCGGCGACGATATCATACGAGTGTTCAAGGAGGACGAAGACTGCGACCCGCATCAACCCAGTTTCGCGATGGTCTGTTCGGTGGAGAGCGCGCACTCACAGGATGTCAACTGCGTCCAGTGGAATCCAGCCGCACCCGGACAGCTCGCGTCGGCCGGCGACGATGGTCTAGTAAAAATATGGTTTTACAACGAATAAAGCGTACATACACGCATCTGCGAAACACGATACGCTTGTTATTTTTTTTCCACACTTCCATCGTGTCTCGATCCTTTTCCAGCGAAGCGTATATCCGTTTTCCATAAAACGTATTTCTCATACCCAGACACTTGTCAATGAAAAATCGACTTTGAATGTTGCGAAAGCAACCGAGCTTTCGTTTCCCATTTTACGCTCTGATTTCCGATTTAAATTAGATTCTTCCTGTATACTTTATTGTTTGACCCCCTTTTTCGTCTCCTTGAAGTATTATAAATTAATTCAGCAGTATATACACAAAATGGATCATCATATCTATCTATGGCCACGTCTTTGTTTTAGGGATAAATGTTGAGAAGTTTATACGTGGGCTTATTCTACAGCAGCTTCTCACGTGGATATATTAGACATCTCAAGGCGACACGTGCAATGACGAACACCGCGAGCGATAAGGCCGGCGTGTCCTTGAAGGAGATTGTAGACACATTACGAAAGTTCGCGGATACATCTCTCGCCGCATCCTGGGACAATGTCGGATTGTTGGTCGAACCGACGCAGCCGAAAGTCGTGTCTTGCATCTTACTAACGAACGATTTGACCGAGGACGTGATGGAGGAGGCTGTTCGACTTAAGACCGACCTGATCATCACGTATCACCCGCTGATATTCGCCCCATTAAAGTCCATCACGACACAGTCTTGGAAGGTACCATGAAACGCGTTGGGAAAATCATTTTTTACACGTTATTCGTAATCTCGTTGCTGTATTAAGTTATTGCTGCTACATTGTATCAAGAAGTAACGAATCGTTAGAATTCTGTAATTTTTTTTTTCACTAAGTTTTGAAGACTTTTTACAACTCCTAAACAAATCTTTAAAACTTTTTTGGCCGACCATTTCACGCAAAGTAACGATCCGTTACCGTTATAAAAAATATAATTACGTTACTATTGTCGTCACTAACGTTATTAGATTGTTGTCAAAGTGTGACTGGTAACATTAATAACATTGCGAGTAATATGCTACTTCTCAACGTTTTTCTAGCTATCTGATTTTCCTTTGCGCGATTGTCGCAGGAACGAATAGTGGCGAAGTGTCTGGAGAACAAAATCGCCGTGTATTCGCCGCACACCAGTTTCGATTCGATCCAAGGCGGCGTGAATGACTGGCTAATGGAAGTTTTCGGTAAGTTCGGAAAGTTTTCGTCGCGATGAGTCGGTCTAGATCAGTGATTTTCAACCTGTGTGCCGTGAGAGGATCTAAAGTGTGTCGCGAAAATTTTTAAGAATTTTAATTGTTATCTTTTTATTACAAATTATAATAAGTTGTTTTGTTTTACTTTTCGACCGTGATGGTGTATTTTGTGTTAATAAATCAATCAAAAAAGGTATATTCTTTTTTATACTCTTTTTGATCATCATAATTTAAGTGTGCCGTGATCCGTGAAATAAAAAAGGTTGAGAAATACTGGTTTAGATGGATAGCTAGCATCTGGTCAGCGCGTGTAAAGATTTTGCGTTTTAAGAGTTCGAGAGCAGCAGACCCATTGAACCGGACGCGAATAACGCGATGTGCGGCATGGGGAGACTGTGCACTTTGAAGACGCGGATATCCATCGAGCAGGCGGTGAATCTGGTGAAGCAACGCACGGGTCTGAAGTACGTGAGATTAGCGCGCGCACGCGACGTAGGTGAGCTTCCGCGACTGGAGAGTAATCAAACATGGGATTTAGAGTTGGAATTCATCGAACGATGATAAATCGACGAGTGCGCAGATATCAGATTGATGCGAAGGATTTGTCGGATAAAATTGCAAATGGAACTTCCCGCTTCCACGATACTAATACTATAGCAAAAAGTCCGGTTCGATTTTTAATGAGTGTGTCACGTATGTGTATAAATACAGGAAACAATGCGAATAATGTTCCATTGTTAACGACACATTACAGGCACGACGATCATTTGCTTGACAAATAATTGCTCTTCGTCGAATGCCATAAAGTCGAACATAGATTTGTAGTCGAAAGATCAAACCGAACTTTTTAACGGAAAATTCGAGCCGAACTTTTCCATTGACCCGGTAGTACTTACAATTGGAGTGAAGGAACGTCTTAAGGACTTGATATTTTTCTTCGCACCTGCAACGAGGTCTTCTTTTATATTTTTAACATCTAGATCGACAACTTTTTACTTTCTGCTAGTCAGAAATTAACCGAAAGAAAAACGAATCTTTCGCTGATCGATCTGATATCACGGTTCCTATTTTTACCAATCGTTTTTACATTGCAGACGGTTACGTGAAATCCGTCGCGCTCTGCGCCGGCTCAGGCGCATCGCTATTGAAAGGAATATCCGCCGACCTGTACCTCACCGGGGAGATGTTACACCACGACGTGTTGGACGCCGTGCATCGTGGCGCTCACGTCATATTAACGAACCACTCTGACTCGGAGCGCGGCTTCTTGAAGGTATTCGCGTCGATATTGGGCAGCAGTTTAGAGAGTTCTGTCAAAGTGTGCGTATCCGAGGCCGACCGGGATCCGTTGCAGACTGTGTGAAAAGACGCACACATACATCGACGAAGAATATATTTCGCCCAACACGCATGCCCGAAAGACGTCTCCAGGGCGTCTTTCAGACGTTCTTAATGTCCGTATCTACTAACGTCGATTAAACTTTAATGTGAGTTAAGTTTACGGACGAATAAAGTTTAAACGTGGTAACGTTAAAGTTTAATCGACGTTGATAGAAACGGGCGTAAGATCTTCAGATGTTTTAATGTTCTCTGGAACGCGCTGCGTTGTTCCACGCGGAATACGTTGTATGGACGAAATACAAGCTATGCTTCATATGAAAAGAATCTTTTATTATTAATATTATAAATTATTTCGTCTGCTATTTTGTCTGTCTCGACTAGATGGAGCGAACCGTGTATTATCAAGCACATTTACGAATAACGTATCGAGATCGTAGGATGCAACTGAAAGAAGAACCTGTATACTTCTTTACACGAACGTGCAGTGAATGTCGCGGGCGGCATGTCTTTCTCGCTCGACACCCACGATTGCTTCTTATACGTATACGTACATATTTAGAACGAGTCGTTCGTTCTCTGGTCCAAATAGGATTTTATTTTTGATTTTCGTACCCAACCTCCGCTCCCGCGCGGTTATTATGGATTTATTTTCCTCGCGAAAAGATGTAGGTATCGATGAAACTGGGAAGAATCCTCTATGTCAATCTATAATCGTCGGATACAGTAACGTTGTTTACACGTGAAATTATAAAACGAGTTCCGCTCTTCGAACGGAAGAGAAGGAGAGACATCTTAAACGACACACACGATCGATACACATTGACACCTGATCGTAGTGGATTTTATTTACGCGTGAAATCGACGATTAATCATCAGCCAGACTCATTAATTTAAAAGGCAGGCGGAGAATGAGAATGAGAATGAATGAGCGAATGACTGAGTGAGAAAGAAGAAAAGAAGAAGAATTGCTCGTAAAAGATTTCAAAGAGATCGTCGATTAAACTCATCAAACGGGCATCGTGGATCGCGTGGTTTAACTCTTAGAGCGAACGTTGTCTACAGGCACCTGACAAAAGTCTTCATCGTGCGCGAACGATGTCCTTAGGCTTCATTTGTTAATATTGGCTATTTTTCAACAAGGACACGCTACATTACATAAAGCCACTTTAGTTATATATCATACAAGGTACCATCTAAGACCTAAGATATGAAATCATGAATGAAAATATAATAATAAACGGAAAGTAATATTGCGCGTCCTTGCTGCAAAATGATCATAACGCACGGAAGTGAAGTATCGTCGACTAACGTTGACTTTGCGCCGCACATAGCGATCGTTTCACTCTCTCGAACGGCGGCCTGCAATCCAAGGATTAAATTGCATCAACTTGCTTTGTTTCTCGCCTTAAATGGGTTCCATGAGTTCCACCTCGGCTGGCTCCTCGTTGCCCGTCCTTTTGTTCGCTCGAGGGTGTAATTATGTACGGCGACGTCAACATAATATAATATAATACACGACGCATAACGAAACACAAGCAGCAACGAAATAATATCTTGCCCTGATAATTGTGACCTCACGTATTACAATTACAATGGCAATTAAAATTAAATTAAATTGTAATTAAAAACATATTTCATGTCGTTTATATCGCTTGCACTTGGGTGCTTTACAACAACGGCGCTGCTCGACGGTACACGAGCAGCCTGTCGGAATCCCGCGTTGTCAAATAATAGTTCAACGTGAACTAAAGCTTCGTTCCTGGCGGATAATGCGTCGACGACGGCCGGTGAATAGAGTTCTGAGTCGCGACTTTCGCGACGTAACAACCTTTTCTTACTCGACGTGTCTCGCTTATTAACACTCCACCACCCTTCGTCCGCATTGTCTCATTTGTTAATCCTCCCGACAGCTACGCTCCAAGGTTCACAAGAATTCGCTGTTTGAAACAATGGACTCGCGACACGGGTCCGTTCTTTTTCTATACCGGCGACACTCTCGACAGTAGCGTCTCTCGAAAATCTGCCATTGTTCGCACGTGAATAACTCTCGCGATCGACCTGAACCGCTCGATCATGTCTCATTCGTCGAATGCATCCATTTTTTGCCCCTCACACCGCGCATGTTATATATATACATATATAATGTGTATGTGTGTGTGTGTGTGTGTATATATATATATATATAATAATTTATATGTATTTTCTCATAAGTATTCTCTCTCGCAACGTAATAATAGATTTCAACACGGACTTGTTAAAGTCTCAATTCATTTTCTTATCAACAGTAACACGTACACACATCCTTTGGCAAGCACAACGTATTGTCTCGTAACCGTGATGAAGCGAAAATGTAACGTTTATACCTGCTGCTCGAGTGTGCGAGTCTTCCGAGTATTTTTTTTTTAGTTCGATAGTTACCCTCATGAATATACGCGCATATGTATTTGTGTATATATGCAGGTGAATGTATGAATGTGTGTGTGTGTATATATATATATCTGATTTTTCTCGCTACCCTGTCTTCGCCCTAAAAGTCTTCTCGCGCATTTACAACATTTTAGCACCAACCGAGATTCGCCCTGTGTCGTTTTTACACCTGCGTCCCCCGCCCTCCCTCCGCTCTGTCTCGTCTCGTCTCGTCTCGTCATCACACGCGGTCACCATCGAAGTTTTTCGCTTCGTGCTTCCTCCGTCTCGGTCCTCCCTTCGTGCGTGGTCCTCGTTTTTCAGCGCATCGTGATTCTCTTCGTGCCGAGACAGGGGACTTCTTCCGGCCATAATCCGTGAACTTCCACGAGATTGTGTCCGCAGCTCCTCTTATTGACTCTTCGATCGCCAACGACGTTGGCTGCACACACAGCTGCAATCTGCGGGAGATTCGTCGATGAGTGTAAGGAAAGTATTTTGGACTACGAGCTACTCAACAATCACTCGACTTTTAGAAAACCATTCTGTTTGATTCGAGGTGAAAATACGATTTACGGCAAATAATACGAGTAACAGTACGAAAAAGATACGAGATTTACGACACGAATTACGATCTCGTGAGAGGACTTTCGAACTCGCGCGATTAGTTCCCTCGAACCGTCGTCCATCCGCTTCGGAACGACGGGCAGTCACGCTATCCTTCGACAGAGGATGAGCCGAGCGGGGGTGGGGAATTTAACGGAAATACCTGCGGCTGATGTTTCACCGCTGTTTCACCGGAACTGGGCGCTTAATACGGATGATTGAGGAAGGTCAAAAGCGTCGTCGAGATCATCACAAACGGCAAATTGGCCAGTCTCAATTGGCCGCCGTGCTGCATCGCCGCAGGATGTTCCCCTGCAAGTCGCAAACATCAGTATGATTATAACGTCATGCGTTCTTCTCTTCCACCTTTCTCGCGAATATTGACTCTCTATCTCTCCCCGTGAGAGAGTCAATGTTTATAAATAATATTTGTTCCGCCGAGGCGACAATCGCGCGCGCGCGCGCTCGACGGGGATTACCACACCAAGTCGAGTGTGTTAAAGTCGCGGTGTACGCGCGTACTCTTGAGCGTAAGAGCAGGTGCGTCTCATGGCAAGAGGTGGCGGAGGGGTTAAGAGGGATGCATACATACCGTTGAGCACGTGAACCAAGACGGTCTTTGTATTAGCGTTACTCGGATGGCAGGTGTATTGTCCGCTATCCGCCGGCTTAGCGCGCTGAATCAAAAGGTACGAGGTCGTTACTTCGCCTTTCTCCGTGATAACCGATACCCCGCCCCTCGGGCTGTCATAATTGATCACCTGTCGGGCGCAGACACCGGTAAAATGTTAGTCTAATTAAATTTTCTTCTCGTGGCTCGTGTACAATCGTGCATACTCCCTCTCTCTCTCTCTCTCTCTCTCTCTCTCTCTCTCTCTCTCTCTCTCTCTCTCTCTCTCTCTCTCCCCCCTCTCACTCTCTCTTTCACTCACCCTCTCCTTCTCCCCCTTACTCTCAATCTCTCCTCGAAACTGGAGAAAAGATTAATTAATCGAACGATTAATTAATTTCGATCGCGGGCGAGCGGCCGAGTCAGCCGCGGTCTCTCGCCTTCCTCGCCGCTTTTTAACGTCATTTTATAATCCGGTCGTACTTTAATCCCCTTTAACAATTCCATTGACGTTTAACACTTAACAGATCGGTCAGTCGGTCTCTCCTTCCCTCCATGTTTCTGTCTTTCCCTCTCCCCGCTGCCTCGTCCTGTATTACGGGTCGCGTACAGAAAGGCTCCGTCGAATTAATTCGTTTAAAGCGCAGAGACACGACGGATGCGTAATTCGAAATGTCCGTAAGTCGAGCGGCTGCCGGATTTTCGCGTGTTCCTCACGATATTTAGAGACACTTTTCGTTCGCTTGCCTGTTCGCTAAATCTGCCCCCGCCCTCTCTCTCTCTCTCTCTCTCTCTCTCTCTCTCTCTCTCTCTCTCTCTCCTCTTCACTATCTCTCATTCGTTAAACTTGTTTAATTAAAAATATTTTTTGCACGCTCAGCACGGCATATGTTATCGCGTTTACGTCGTTCGGACGCATCTCTACAGAATTAAAAACTGTCCCGATAAAATTTTCCAACCGTTCTATCTCTCTCTCTCTCTCTCTCTCTCTCTTTTAGCTGTCCTCGTGCGACTGGATATGCACGTGCATACATATATATGTATATTGAGCGTATTTTGCAGTTTATAAACGGTGCGAATCTAGTTTTGAGAACTTTAGCAAAATCGATACAGCAGCGGCTGGGTATCAGTTTATGTCCGGGGGTTTTCGTTGAAACTCATAATGCTCCCCGAGCCGGACTTACGGCACTTTCAAAATAAACGCGCTCATGCGTCACAGAGCGGCACAGAAAGGATCTCCGAAACTTTCGCCGAGCCGTCGAGTCCGTCCGGGCAGAGTGTTATAAATCCAAAAGTACAATCGCGCGAGAGAGCGGCGATATTTTATATCCGCGATATAAAACGTCTCGTTTGCGTTCGCGATCCCGCCGCTCGCTTTTCGTACGCTGCCCTTTGCCTTGGCCCGCGTTTAAGCGCTATTCCCCGCGTTTTCACGTCCGACCCATGTTTCTTCTGCTGCTACCGCTGCTTTTTCTTCTTCTCCGCTTGTACTTCGTCGATAGTCGTGATTTTCGATTCGTTCCAACGAAGAAGTCGTAACGAGAGCCTTACATGAAAGTTATTTAAGCTCAACGACAAAGAATTCGCGCACACACACACACACACACACACTCTCTCTCTCTCTTCCTCCTTCCATCCTCACGTTCGTCCGTATAGTAATTAAAGCGGTTTAAAGTATGTTCCAATTACTACTCTCGTCCGGCCGCGGCGAATACTTCCCGGTATTTCTTTTCTCCCTATAAAAGAGTTCCCGTTCGCGATTTAACCTTAAATAAACGCACTCGGAATTCGCGCGACTGGGTCGCTTTTTTATTTCCATTCCCGGAGTAACTCATCGAGTTAGCCCCGCATTGTGCGGCTTGAGCGAGTACTTTTGATTTTTCCCATGTCCAGCGGCGTTCCGCTTGCCGGTCGTTTGATTGCCCTGTTCCTCGTCTGCTCGGCAACGTTATTCCGCTTTTTTATGCGACAAAGGTTATTAACATACTGTTTCTCTGATTAACTGCGTCACACGCAACGCGTTTCTCGCTACACGTATATGCGTGTACGCGGAAATTAATTCAGCGGACGCGCAATTTCCGCCATATTTTCGCTGCGTATCATAGTTCATTTGCGCTCGGAGCTCTCTCGGTCGTAAATAGCGACTTGCGCGCATGGGTTAAACGAATATATCCTCGCTCGTTTTATTGGTGTACGATCGGAGGGCGAATGATTTATATAGACGTATTCGGATTCGTGAAAAATGTAATACGCGAATGCCTCCTGGAAACATTTGAAATATCAAAAATTCTATTTGAATCCGCGTGTGTTTTATGGAAAAGTCTGAGAGATCGCGGTTTTGCGAACGTGAGCGCTCGCATGGTTACACGAAAAGGACTAAAAACGAAAAATATTTCGTTTGCTTTTGGCCGGTGCGAAAGTGAAAAATATTTCGTGTTCTCCCTTTACTCCCTGTCCACAAATCGAATATTTCATTCGCGGTGTTATCCTGCGCGCAGCGCGGTAAAATCAAAAGAATCGATTGAAATGACCTCTCTGTCTTTAATCGAGTTCTAACAAACCGCACACTGGGCAATTTTCAATTATTAATTATCACTAATGAGGTCGTGAGCACGCAGGACATACATCGCGACGTCGATCCTCTTTCCTCCTCTCATTCCACGTCATCACTTTGATATTATATATCCAGTCTCGCTCCGCTCGAATTCTACATGGTTCCTTGATTCGGAAAATAAAATTTTGTTTTATTTTCTCTCTTTTTTTTTTCCATCGTTTCGGTCGGGTTTCGATGGCGAGAGACTCGGTCGGACGGATGATAACATTAACAAATTCCCACTTCATAAACCGATCCAACGCACATCCACCTATCTATGACACGGCTGCATGCCGTCAGCAAATTCCGATGTAACAATGGCCCGACAGCTGAGTGCTGTCGGCGGACCGCGAAGTGTCAAAAATTCTGAAAATCCAAAATATCAAAACCGGCGGCAGCGCACTCGACGTCGCTTTCCTCCCGTCCTTCTCGCATCCTCGCGACGAGTATTCACGTTTCCGTGAGCTTCTTAATTCTTCTGTCGCAGCGTGTCTCCTGTCTTGCGTGTACGACACACGCATGAACATGTCGTTGCGTCTGCTTCCGCGAATCCGTTGTTTCGTAATCGACAAATATACATGCATGTGTATTCGCTAAACAATACACCGGAGGATCGCGCCGAGTAATAGAGATAGAAAGAGAGGGGGAGGAGATGCGAAGAATGGGACTTACGACTGCAATTTTCGCTCGACGGCATCTGGAGACGTTTATTTTATTACAAAGAGACATAAATCCAGGCCTGGCGACACACTTTGCCAAGTAGATTCCGATACAATACATTTGCTCTTTCACTTTTTCTCTCTCCTCTCTCTCTCTCTCTCTCCCTCTCTCTCGTCAGAGGATCGGATATTCAGAATATTCAGAAATCATATAACGATCTGTGGCAAAACTTTCTTCGGGAAAAAGCAAAAAAGGAGCGGAACACTCCCGCTTCTCCACCGATTCCAGACGACGAAGCTGTAAGATGCTCTCTCTCTCTCTCTCTCTCTCTCTCTCATGTGCGCGAACGTTAACTTTTTTGAATCGGGACGATTTTACGTAAGTCTTTTCAATGAGGATATAAAGCGGATTACAACGCGGATAATACCTGGCCGCCCCATCCAGGATGGTCTTACTACGTGAAGGACGCCGCGCGAGGGATTCAGAACTCGCAAACGAAATACCACCGTCGTCTGCCCCCCCTCTCTCTCTCTCTCTCTCTCCCCCTCCTCTTCCTCTCGGTGCTTCTCTCTTGGCTTCCCTCGTTCTCTATCTCTACAGATTCTCGCGGACGATAATTTCGTTCCGCGCGATTATGCAAGCACACCGGTACGATGCCTCGCGTGATTTGCATATGTGCGAAAATTCATCTCGCAATTATAACATATGATAATGATAAACATCGTATGCCGGCGCATAACAAAACTAATTGAGAGTAATATTATCGGACTCTGATGCAGGAGTGAAATCAATTATACACCTGGTTTCGACGAAGCGGTGGCGTGATTGCACGTTTACCCTTTCCTCTCTCACTCTCCCCCCCCTTCCCCGCCTCTTTTGACCTCTGAACCCCTTTATTATTTATGTTACGTTATACGCGTTCGCTGCGTATCTCGACATGCATAATTCTCCGCACAAACGCCGGGGTTAACTGGGTCACACCGGCGACGAAGGGGTGGGGGTGAGTGAGAAAAGAGGAGGAAGAGTGCGTACCGTGAGAATGCGGAGGACAGAGGGAAGATATGGGAGCTAATAAGAAATACTACGCGTCTCGAATTTTTCATTCGGGCTTTGCCGGTCGAATCGGATCGAGAGGTGGTCCTGCTCTTCCTTTTCTTTCTTCTCGACCGAGGAGACTGAGCTGGTAGCGGGATGCAAGTAGCGCGTCGGGGACGTCGCGGGGATATAGAAAGCGAATGATGAGACGGAACAAGTACACGGGGCGAGAAAATCTCCCTCATGCTCGCTCGCTCGCGCGCGCGCAAGACGCGGGGAAGCTTACTGGATCGAGAGCTACAGAACAGATGGGCTTTGCCGGAAGGAAGGAAGTCAAATTCTCGGGAAATAAAGTCAGAGATGAAGCGACAAGAGACGGAGAGGAGAGAGATTTGCAGGCGTGATTTCGGTCGTGACGAGCGCAGGAAATTCGAGAGAGAGGGAGGGAGGGAGAGAAAGAGAGAGAGATATATATATATATATATATAAATAGATAGCGGAAAAAGAAAAGAAATAAATTGCTTGATAAATTTTACACGTGTACGGGGAACGCGCGCGGGAATGAAGTTTATTCTGGAAACGACATAAAAGCCCGAATTTTAAAGAAATAAATGACGTTTTAATCTCTACGCTCAAGGCAATCAACGCGAACAGAAATGAGGAAATAGACTTAATCCACTTTCAAAAGAAGTGATTTAAATATAAGTTAACACTTTGTCGCCCGAGGGACTAGTAATAGGCTTTCTGCCGACGGTGCTACGGCAGGTACAAGGTGTTAAGACGTAAGCTAAGATAGACATTTCAACTAATCCCGATGTCTCTCACTGCGAAGTTTACCGTGTAGCAATTGTAGTTGCATAATTACGCTCAGGACGTCAATCATGAACTCGTAAATCACACACCGAGAGTGCGAAGTAAACATAACAAGCGACAACAATCGCGAACCGAATTAATCGACAAACATCACGTCGCACGTCGGGAGAGGGAGGAGGGAGGAGGAAGAGGGTGAAGAGACCGGGAGCGACACAGGCGACATAACGAGCCGACTTAAATAAATTAGATGACATAGGGTTGCGCGTTGAGCACATTTATCTCCCCGGAGCACGGTAATTCTCACGCCCAAGGAAGTATCGATGAAGTGATAGTGAAACACTGAGAATGGCTGTAACGAGGATGCGGTGCACAATATCGATGAGGGAGGTTACGAAACCAGAGACAAGACGAGAAGACGAAGACGGAGGCAGCGGCGACGGCGAAGGAGGGGGAGAGAGAGAGAGAGAGAGAGAGAGAGGAGGAGATAATGCGACGAACTGCAGTAGAACTCAGCACAGAAGTAGGAATATAAGATTCAAATAAGAGTTCGCGCGCCCGAGAGAGAGAGAGAGAGAGAGAAAAGAGCTACAGATAGAGAGACAGACATGGTCACGAATAGGCGGTTGTATAATACGACCTGCGGAGAAAGAGAGAGAGAGAGAGAGAGAGAAACAGTAAAGCAAGCACATAGCACAGCGGAGAAACTTTACGTAGCGGAGCCTTAGCGGCGGTAAGGGCGGCGGCGACGGTGGCGAGCTAAGAGATAGGTTTTGAAGTTGAGAAATGAGAGGACCGAGTTACCCGCGGCTCGTGCTCGTACATTTAAAAATTCACAAAGAGAAATGTTGAACAGGTAATATTAAAATTAAAAGTTTTCTCTCTCTCTCTTCCTTTCTCCCTCCGCTCCCATCCTCTCTCCTTCCCTTTCTCTCTCTCTCTCTCTCTCTCTCGCTCTCGCTCTCCCTTCGACAAACTCTCGTACCCTTAAGCTTAGAAACTTGATTAAAAACGTCACGTCGCTGGGAATGGAGTACGTCGAGCAAGCGCAATTGAGTGGAGAGACGATAAGAAATTTCTTCGGCGGCGGTATCGCGATCTTAACTTATCGTCCTTTAAAGCGGAGTCCCGCGATTAGTTCGGAATAACAATGGAAAATTAATTTGTCGGTGTTACGTCGTCTCTTTTTTCTTTTTCTCTGTTTTACTTTTCCTCCTGCTCTTCCACACTTTCCCTCTCTTTCTCTCTTCTCAAGATTTTTTTCGGGAGCACACTTTCTCTCTCTCTCTCTCTCTCGCATGCATGTACGCATACTCCGAATAGCTCTCGCTTTCGATATGCGAATCGCGCTCGACTGGCGTGCAAAAACCTACCTCGTGATCGTGAGTCCAATAAATGGTCAGAGGTGGTTCAGGACTATGTCGCACCACGCAAGTCAGGTTCATGGTGCTTTCCTTATTTATGTACATCTCCGACTCTCCGATAATCTCCGTCACGGGCTCTGTGAAGAAGAATAACAGTGGTAATAACGAAATAACACATACAATATGTAACATCAACATATATAATAAGTCAGGATGACGGATTACTTATCCCCATTCGGACGATAATGCAAAGGTTGCCGAAAAAGTCATCAAAATCGATGATAACTGTTAAGAGATATATTTTCGGCACATAATCTTGTATCTTGACGTCTCTTTTATCAAAAGTAGCGCTTGTTTTTCGAAGTATTTGCAGCTTAAGCGAATCAAAATACCCATAATTTCACTATTTTCAATAGAAAGAATTCAGAATATGAGATGATTCTATGCTCTAATGAGAAATTTTCAACGAGACTTGGCTTCTGTTTCAACAAACGATTCCGGCGCAAAATTAGTTGCACTCATTATAACTGGAAGCATTGCAAATATCATTATCGGCAAAATCAATTTTTTCGGCAGCCTCTGCGTTATCATCCGAATGAGGACAGGCAACTCGTCGTACTGACCTGTATGACCTGTATGATGTTACACCCTGTATACACGCACATTATTTTCACACCAATTATATCGTTCTTATCGTGCGCGCTGAATTGCAACGCTGGATTTATCGAAAGCAAAAAAGGACATCCGATCCAGCGTTTTTTCGCTTTTATTTTCTCGTTAGATGCAACAATTGCTATCATCAGCGAGGAAGTGAGTGACGGAAAGAGATAGAGAGAAACGAGAGTGGGTGTGATGCGCGATTCTCGCTTGAAACGGTGTGTGTATTGAGCGTTGTCGCGCTGAATTCAACTTGTATAAACTCGTGTCTTGCAGCAGACTAATATTAACACTAAGCTGTTAATATCAAGTTCATGCTAAGTTTCGAGTTACGGGAGCTGATTAAACCTACTATTTGCAAAATGAGCGAGCACACATAGCGTGCTGGGAGAAATTTATAATTCGCTCCGAGCTCGCGCGCGGAAATTGCAATCGTGATCTGCTGACTGGCGTCACGGCGCGCGCACACTTCACGGCAAAGACGACGACGAGGAGCTGCGGAAAAATCCCGGAGGCGTTACACATTTCGATTTTATTAACCGGAGAGAGTCCCGCGATTTAATCTTATTATGTGAAAGTCATTAACCTCTCGCGCAGACGCAACGATAAGAGAAAAGACGATATCGCGAAATAATATCGCGTATCGCGCGCGAACGGGTTCTCCGAGGAACTGTCCGCGATTGATCGAGTCTCGTTAACTCACTGAATTGTTAATTTTAAGAATTCGCAATGAATCTCGCAGAGTCGCGGGGGGGGGGGGGGCTGACTAAACTGATTATACAGCGAGAAAAAAGTGCTTCATATTTATGACCGTAATCGCACGGTGAAACAATTGTATCCAGAAAGATCTGTTTCACAGTGAAATTCTACCACGATGTTATTAATAATGATGTTATACAAAGTGTCCTGCAATTCGCAGCCGCTATCTGCGCAGTGTTGTTTTTCGATAAACAGAATTTGAATCACGAGACGTGAATCACGGGATAACCTGTATGTACGTACACATTGCTGCTTTTCTGTTGGAACGACGAAAAAATATGATTAACGGCGAAACTGACTACAATTCCGGCGGGGAAATTGCCCGTCTCTTTTCACGTACGGCGTATCCGCGAAATGCGCGACGAGAAGTTCGCGCGAGTCGCAAAGCTCCGCTGGAAAACGGGATTTCGAACTGACGGGCTTCGCGCGCGCCAACTTTTGCGAGCTTCTCGCGAAAATCCCCAGGAAACAATGCGATATTCCGATCTCGCGGAGCCGGATGTCTCACGCGCAATCTTAACTTCTCCCTTCCTTCCGATTGAAATTTCGTCATTGCATTGACGTTACGCGCCGCACAAATTGCGGGTAAAACGTTGAAATCGCGCGCGCGCCGCAGCCGTCGCGAGCAGCTCTCCGTGAATGATTAAGTCACATTAACACTAAGCTGTTAATATTAAGTTCGCGCGCTAAGTCCTGAGTCATAGCAGAGCTCGACTGACGGAACTTCTTTATCATCCTCGAGACGGGTGAGCGGCCGCTCTCGCACACGGCGCGAGAGAAATTCATAATTCTCGCGATCCTCCTCCGTGCGCGACGACTTTTCCGCGGGGCTTGCGGAAAAATCCCGCCGGGATTCGCGGCGAGCGAGAGCGCGTAGCGCGCGAGCGTAGGACGATTTCGCAACGACCGAGAGAACGTCTTCATAATCCAATTCCATTTCGTTATCTGAAAGATTCATCGGACCGAAGATAGAAACGCGCAGAAAAACGCGGCGACGAATAAATGCCGAAAGGCTTCGTGCTCGCGCGCGGGAAATTCTGCCGGATGATCAAATCGCGCGGTATATCAGTGAGTCCGCGATGTAACAACAACAACAACAACAACAACAACAACAACAACAACAACAACACAACAACAACAACAACTACACAGCTAAACAACTATAACTAGCGGGTGAGCGTACACGTGCGGGAGACGCGTTAAGCCGCTGACGGCAAATAGCGAACACGTAAATTTCCACGCGACGTCGCGTCGCGGCGGAATCAGCGCGCTCCGTGAAAAATGAGACGGCAAGGGCAGTGAGGGCGGCGGAGCGGAGCGACGAGGAGAGGAGAGAAGAGAGAGGGAGAAGAAAGAGGACGACACAGGAAGAACTAACCGACAACGGAGAGGTGCATGGAGTGACCTATGGGCGGCGTCGTGGACACTTGACACTCGTATGTGCCGGAATCCCGTCGTTGTGGGTATTTCACTTGTAGCGTCCAGTCCTCCGTGCGAGGAAAATGCGACGCGACGAATCTCTGGTCGGATGTGTACGTCTCAACGCCCACGGTCAGAAGATGGATATCTCTATGCCTCACCCATGACACCTGGAAAAAAGCAAGAAGAGCACTCGCGCGACATCCTCTCTCTCACTTTTTTCTCCCTTTCTCCTCCACCATAGCGCAGCTACATCTCTTTGTGCGCGCCACGGAACGAGCGAATTCGCGAGCACCCGAGTTGTCTCGGGAGTTGTTGGCGCCCGAAGAACAACGAGAGCGCGAGTCTGAACTCGATCGGAAGTCGTGATCTGCTCGAGATACTCTTCGGAGCCCGGCTTCGGGTTTCGACGCCGCCCTGTTGAGATACTCTTTACGTCTCCTCTTCTGCGCGCATGCAGGTGCACGCCGAAATATCCGTGCGATGTCGACGATAACGCGTACGTTCGCAGATTTTTCGTTTTTCATTATTCTCTTCCGCCTCTTGGGCATGAATTTTTATATCGCCCGATATCGCCCGAACACTCGTGGTTGATGTATTATTCGTCCACTTTGGCCCACACTTGCTGTGTCATGTGGAACTGGCTATTTTTTATTTGTAATATATACATTCTGTTCACAAATAAATGGATCAATGAACGAAAGTGTGAAAACAAGCCCTGTGCTTGCCCACGCAAAGCAACCTGGTTAAACTTTCGGTCCGCCGAGCGATTTTTCCATCGCGCGAATTTCGTACCACTGTAATAGCGAATGTAATGATTCGATGATCTTTCCCCACTCATATAGTCAGATTAGATGAAAGTGTCATTGCTTGAACGCGTGCTTAATTCTAAACATTCTTATTGCTTTGGTTTTTAAATATTTAAACTTTCGACAGCATACACAGAGTGCGTGTAAAATTGGCGTTTCGCTTCCTACCAACTCATGAGCTACTGATAGCTCTGGCTCTTTTTTTAATAGTTTTAGTGTTCTTCAAAAGTTCCGCTCATTAAGTCAGAATAATAGACTCTGACAAACTGAAACGTCAGGTTCACACTGCGTCCCAGTTTGTCCTACACGATTCTGTCACACGTCCACACAATCATGATGATACCTCGACAGATTTTGCGAGTTCTAAACGAGTTCTTCTATATAGAGTACCGCTGTGGAAAAGTGATGAATTCATTATCACTGTAAAATACTCGCAACTATAATGTAATAAGTCAAACGAATTAAGACCCTGGTCAAAATTTGGAATTTCCAAAATTTTTAAACGAATTCTCCCATAGACAGCTGAAATGGATCGATGTAGAAATAAAATAAAAGTAATGACTCACCAGGTATAAAGTAACGAAATATAAGTAAAGTAATAAAGATAATAAAACAGGCGATCCAAGATATAAGTTATAAAATAATATGCGATAAAATATATTATTCTATGGTGAAAATTTACGATGACCCGTGAAAATCGCATCGTCCTACAATTACCCGTTATGGAGATAGAGGTCACGAAAGATTGAAAAGTGACAGGTGCGAAAATGACGGGTCATCAAACACAGAAATTAATGAACAGAATATAGGTAATAAAGTTTTAATCTAAACTTCGCAGACCGTAACGACGTGCGGCTGCCTGTCGTGGAGAAATTGAAGCCGATTTGTCAAGATCGATCGATGCAAAAACGATAGGTCACCGGGTATAAGTTAACTAATTATACACAATAAGATATTAATCTAGGGTCAAAATAACGATGATCCATGGGAACCCTATCGACTTCCGATTACCTATTACGGAGGTAGAGACCACGAAATTTCTACATGTGACAAGCGTGAAAGGGTGACGGGTCATTAAATATAAATTAACAAACTATGAGTGACAAGCTTTTAATGTATGTCCAAAATAACCAAGTTTCTCGCAAACCGCGCGTCGTGCTAACATTACTCGTTATGAAAACAGGACAGAGACTACGGAATGAATTGAAATCAATCGATGCTGCACTGGCGGATCACTAAATAATAAAGGTATTAAATATTAATAAGTTTATAATTTCAATAAATAGGCAATACAATTAATTTCCCTGTAATCTCGATCAATATAGCTTTATATATATATAGCCGAGTTACGATTATGAGTTATGATATTCGAAAAAGTAATGTAGCCGGCCGTGTGGCCCGAGCGGCAAACGTGACGTGCCTTCTAGCTTCGCCTATCACGTAATATGAGCGAACAGAGGAGGTCCTGACCTAGATCAAGTTAGCAATAAAGGATCTCGCGAACGCGGTTCGATACCGCGGTCGACATCCTTGTTTCTAAGAGTCGTAGAGACGTCAGAGAGGACTCATCGGAAAGCTGAAAGTTTAGAACGAAAGTTTAGGACGAGCTGTGCATAATCGTCTCTTCATCTTTGAGAATTTATGGATATAAAATGACATGGAAAAATGATACGTTACTAATAAATTAGAGTGGTAATATCAAATGATCAAAAATAATTATAAATATATCTCTCTATAGTAGTAAGAGAAGAATGTAGAAAGATTTTTATAATTATCGAAAATATTAATTGAGATTATTGTTGCGTCCTAAGCGATATGTAATTCGTTCTCGACGAGTAAAGTACTTGCATTTAGTATTAATAAATTAGGAATAAAGAAGATGCGTGTAGGGGATGCGTTGAGATGTGAATTTGGCGTTTCAGTTTGTTCAAATCCATTTTTGTTGCTCCTGTAGACGTAATTATTTATCTAACTTCAGTCAGGGGCTTTACAACAATGAAAAAGAAAGTCTCCCTGCCAGTAACTTACAAGCTTTTACAAAGTGAGGTGCCAGTTTCTCACGTACGGATATATATAGATATATCGGCTATATATTCTGTTCATGTTAAATTCTGTTTAAGGTTGAAACAATATTTTCAGAGATAGGTAGATATGTACGTTAGTAGTACCTCTACTTAGCATAAAATTTATCAGGTTTTCTTCAACGACAGAATCGCGACGGTCTTCCGCGAGCGCGAATCCGTGGTGACGTTTCTGTGAAAAATCGAATTTCGAATCGAACGTCGAAATTACGATCCGCGATGGCAATTGGCATTTTTCGTCAACGCACCGGATGGTTCGTATGTCACGCGTTCTTCGGCCACAGAGACAAAAAGGAGAGAGATCAGTGATTGATTTACATAAATGCACGTCGTACGCGCGAACGTATATTAACGCGCGAATGTGACCGAGATATTGGAATACCGAACACGTCCAACGAAAATGCGTATTCTCCCATAAAAACGGCTTCATTGAGTTTTGCACGCGTGCTTGGCGTGCCGAAGTCGAGATGAAAAGAGGCGAAGGCGCGGCCACAAGACCGTGACGCGGCTTTTGTTCCTGCTCGCGGTTACGTTCGATCCAGTGCTAATGAAAAGCGAGCATTCGATTCTGAAGCTTTAATAACGAAAGGAAAGGAAGAGAGAGAGAGAGAGAGAGGAAAAAAATCGACCGCGAGAGCGCGTCTGTTCCGCCGCCTCTTCCGAGCGGTGGCAGTGACGGTGACGAGAGCGTGCTTTTGCCAACAAACGCCGGCTGATTATTCAAATGATCATTGAGACACGGCGATTGCCTTTCGATGTTCATCGCGCGGCGAATACAAGAAAGTGAGGCGGCGTATAAAGGGAGCGCGGTGTGAAAAAACGGCGTTGGAAGTTAATTTCAAAAGCTGCAAATTGCGCAATTAACCGGTGTGAGGAGTGCTTTGGAAAAACACAATTTCGCGAGATAACATTGACGTGGAAGTACACCGTCAAGGTATATACTTGCGCTTTTCGATTTTTCCGCAATCGACTTTCGATTTTTCGATCTCGCCGAAAAATTTGCCCGAAAATTTTGGCGCGATGAAAAGAAATACGATTCTAGAAAATAAAATTCGTGCGAGTCGAAAACGCGCGGCTCGGTCTCCCGCACGCGCGCGAGAGAGAGAGAGAGAGAGAGAGGGAGAGAGAGAGAGAGAGAGAGAGAGAGCGCGAGGATAGCTCGCTGAAAAATTGCTACAAAACTAGCGGGCTATTTATATTTCACTTTAACGCATTACATTGTATCTCAACGGGGGAAGCATCACTGGACCATTCGATTCCGCGGGCTGGAATACGCTCGTAATGTCGGGACGGAAAGATATATATCGATTTATCAACTTTCGCCGGAAGGGCTGCTCTCCGTGTTTCCGAATACTTTTTCCAAGCGTCACATTACGTTAAAACTTTCTTTCTTTCCTCCTTTATTTATTTCTTTCTTGCCTCTTTCCCCTTCACCCTTCATGATTATGGCATACAATAGGTCGGGAAGAGTCGTTCGGGAAGAGTCGCCGAGATAAAGAATCTCGAGCTCCAGAAACTCTATCTTTTGATCTGCGAACATATAATGACGGTAATAGAGGGAAAATCGTCGTGCACGAAAGTATCTTGTTTTTTTGACGAATCGCGGTTCTTTCGGAAGGATCCCTCGTCAGAGGAATGTCAACCATTGTATGACGACAAAGGGAATGATTTTCCTCATACTGTATCATATAATGTATTATATTTTTATGTTATATTTTATGTTATGTTATGTTATATTTTATAAAGTATTATGACATACAATATGTGGTACATATTGTATAACATTATATTACATTGTATTGCATATTTTACCCTACACATGATTATAAGCGAAAAATTAATGTGATATTACAAACTAAAACGCGGACATAATGGTAATATTCTAGCGCTGCTAGAAAATTATTTAACTGTCAGAGCAGAGATGAAGGAGGATTATGCCGCTCACGCGAAAAAATTACATACATCCCGTTCCTTCCGCGAGTGTCCATAAACGTCGGATTTTCCGCGACGATCTCGTCGTCGATTCGTCATTCGACGTATAACGAGTCCCCATTAAAATTTAACGCAGGATTGCACGCACGAATGCGAGATGCAAAGCGCGCGCACACATTTCTCCTCTCCTCTCCTCTTTCTCTCTCCCTCTCCCTCTCTGTAAAAAGTAATTCAACTACATACGCACACGGACCGTAGCAAAGAGACGGATTATGCCGGTGGGATATAAAAAACGGTGTTAACGGAATAGAGAGGTGAGCGTGTGGTGAGCGAGAATTCAGATACGAAAGATGCACAGGGACTACAAGCGCTGATGCTCTCTCTCTCTCTCTCTCTCTCTCTCTCTCTCTCTCTCTCTCTCGTCTCGCGAAAATTTCTCGAGCGCACTCTGCGCTGGCTGAAAAAGAGAGGGACAGAGGAAAAAAGAAGAAAGGAAAAAAAAATCAAAGAAAAGAAAAATACAGCAGTCTTGTCCATCCAGGGCTGCAATGTTTTACCTCGTTACATAAGTGTCTCGCGACGAGCCAACTTTATTACATATATACACGCAAAAACTTCCGTAGGGGGTTAGGTTAGGTAGGGGGGGCAAAAACTCCCGTGTACAACACCGCGGGAACGAGCGGCGGGAAACAACGAGCGTACACTGAAATCGCGGGCGGAGTCATCGCGTTCGCGAGTTGCTTGTCGCGAGTTGCCGCGAGTTTCGACGGTGATCGCGTTTTCTTCGACTTTGTCTCTCTTTGCCGTCTCTCGCGCCTCGTAGAAAATCCCATCCGCGTGAACGTTTTACGCGGCCTCGGGAAGAACGCGTCTGTATTGATGGAGCGAGCGCGATAGTCGCGCGTGAGTCGTTTCGTCGTAGTTTTCGATTTTATCTGCGAAGCGTGGTAAAAGAGAGAGAGAGAGAGAGAGAGAGAGAGAGAGAGAGAGAGAGAGAAAGAGAAACAGAGATAGAGAGAAAGAGAGAGAGAGAGAAAGAGAGAGAGAGAGAGAGAGAGAGAAGGGGAGAAAGAGAAAGAGAAAAGGGAAAAAGAGAAAAAATGGGAGGTGGGGGGAAATAGGGAAAGAGAGAATAGCTTCGCTGCGCCTTCAGCCAGATACAGCATAGGGAACTTGATAGACACGAGAGAATACATACACGTCGCGAGTAAGTTACGAGTATCTATTGGCTTTTAACATCGTATCTCAGGGCGGGCGCGCTCGCACGGTGGTTGGAGGCAATCCATTTCTGGCAAAAGTTTCCGGCAAGAATATTACGGCTGATATATTTCGCACCACTGACAGTCGATTTCGATACGCTGCGGACGGGAGAAACGGCGAGCGAGAGAAAGAGAGCGGTGATGCATATTACGCGCGGCTAAAAATCGAGACGGTTCCGCGTCGTGGCCAATATTAAGTGGACATATTTCGAGCAGCCGCCAAAGGGACATCTCTTGAGGTTTCATCTCTAGCAGATTCTTCGTAAGTCATCTCCTCTCTTTCTCCCATTCTCTCTCTCTCTCTCTCTCTCTCTCTCTCTCTCTCTCTCTCTCTCTCTCTCTCTCTCTCTCTCTCTCTCTCTCTCTCTCTCTCTCTCTGTCTCTCGCACTCTCGCACGAGGAAGTTGAGATAATCCGGAGGATAAAAGAAGAGAGATGCTCCTCTTACCGATATTTATTCTTTTTTTTTCTTTCGCGTTCTACGCCAACTTATATAATACTACCGAGATAGCGTTATATTCAACTTTATTGGCTATTCAACCAGATTGTATATGAGGGCGAGAGAGGGTGGGAAGGAGGGAGAGAGAGATCGGGAGATAATGCTATTAAAATTCTGAAACTACATAAACCGTGAGAAAATAGCAGTCGTTATTATAATATTATCGGATGTACTTTGTACATCCGCGGGCTTGCAGTTCTCATCCTTGTTCATAATCTCGCCGCTCGGTCTTGAGATAAAATATATATGTCGCGCTCGCGCTCCTCTCCACACGGAAGAACGTTTCTCGCGCGAATTGCACAGCGCAGTAGCGTAGCGGAATGCGCGCAGAATATTTTTTCCCTGTTTCCTTCCTTTCTCTCTCTCTTATTCTCGAACTCACCGTTCGATCGCCCAGATTCCGCACTCGACAGTTCAGCGTCGCCGTCTTGCCGACGAGAGCTGTCACGTTGCGGGAGGCTGAGACATCGAAATACGGCCCTCGGTCGAGTGGCTCCGACGCTCGATCCTCGTGTATCCTGCGATCGGCCGTACAACGGGCGGGTCCTTGCACTTGAAGCAAACACAATACACCACCTTAACCAGGCGATGCTATGAATTTTTTAAGTCACGGCGCGCGCAGGAGATGCGGTCGCGCGAGGGGATGTAACATGTAACGCCGAGAAAAATGGAACGACCGTTCGCCGGCCTCGTGTTCTAACGTCTAACGGTATTATTGATGAAATCCCTCTCCTCCCCCCTCTCACGCCCTTTCCATCGTTTCCCTTGTTTCCCGACTGATTAAAGGGATTTGAGGGAATGAGAGGAATGTTTGAAGGAAGACGCAAAAGACGTCTCGAGAGGCGCTAATTTTTCAGACGTCCGCGTAGAGACGTTTCCCGGACATGGCGTGTTGCCGGTTTGCCGGTTAATTAGGTTAAATCGAATAAAAATCGGAATGTCACGTTCACGTCTCTCGCGTCGACTTGAACAAAGAAGGGAGTAATTTTCCGGCAACAGAGAGAAGAACGCCGGTCGGGGGAGGAACGTGTAAAGACGTCCGGCGGGACGCGTTAATTCTTCAAACCCTCCGCACAAAGACGTTGCTTCGGCGCGGATCCTCGCGCGTTCCCGTTGTTGCTCGCGTTCTGTTTTCCAGTTAATTAGGCAAATTCAATGAAAATCGACTGGAATGTCGTGCACTTGAGACGCCGCGTTTCTCGATGCTATGCGTAACAAGGCAGGAATGGCAAGCTCCTCCGCATAACAATACTGATGTACAGGTTGCGTGAAAAGTTCGCGGAGCGGCATCTACGTATAAGTAAAGTAAACGGTAGAATTATAAATTGTAGTCGGTTATATAGAATCACTCTTCACATGAACCTAGGTTAGGTCTCGTTTCCATCTGTCAATTCTTTCTGTGTTTACAAGCCAATTGAAGTTGACGTGCCAGTATATTTGTTTGCAATGGAAAATTTGAGACAGCGTGCAGTGATTGAGTCCTTTGTTAAAAAAGGTTTAAAGGCAATGGAAATTCATTCCGAGATGGTAAATGTGTTAGGGGAATCTGCTCCTTCAAAAACAATGGTTTGTAAATGGGCACTTGAGTTTCAACGTGGTCGTAACAAGCATTGAAGATGATCCACGCAGTGGACGTCCAAAAAGCGCATCAACACCAGAAATCATTGATTGAAATATATGTTATTGTTTCTGAAGATCCAAGTGTGACTACGCGTGAAATTGCTCATACCATAGACATTTCAGATGAACAGGTACGGCATATTTTGCATAAAGAATTACAAATGAAAAAGGTGTTTGGAAAAGTGGTGCCGCATACGTTAACAATTCAACAAAAACTCGCTCGAAAGCAAATTTCTCAGCGTCATTTGGATGGTTTTAAGAAGAATAAAACCGATTTTGTGCGTCGTTTTATAATTATGGATGAGACTTGGATCTATCACCATGATCCTAAATTGAAACAGGAACGTTTACAATGGACCGAAGCTAGATGTTCAGCTCCAAAGCAAACAAAGCATGAAAGATCGGCAAAAAAGGTTTTGGCATCAGTTTTTTGGGATGCTAAAGGGATTTTGTTAATTGACTATCTGGAAAAAGGTAAAACAATTAACTCTGAATATTATTGTAACCTTTCGGATCAATTGGACGCAAAAATTCGTGAGAAAAGACCTGGTTTGCAGCACAAACAAATCATTTTTCACCAAGACAACGCACCTGCTCACACAAGTGTTTTGTCAATGTCTAAATTCAATGAATTGAAGTACAAATTGCTTGATCATCCACCGTATTCGCCAGATTTGGCACTCAGCGACTTCTATCTAGTTCCGAAACCTGAAACAATTCCTCCGTGGAAAGTATTTTTTGTCGAATGAAGAAGCTGCCTCAGCCGTAGAGGCATATTTCGCAGACCTTCCAGAAACACACTTCCGCGATGGAATAAAATTATTGGAGAGCCATTGGGCCAAGTGTATTGAAGTTAATGGAGACTATATTGAAGAATAAAATCATTTGTAGTATTAGGTATTCTTTATTTCAGTTTCGCTCCGCGAACTTTTCACGCAAGCTGTATTTCCCGAGAAAAACGTAAAAGAGGCGCCCCTCGCGCGATTCTTCGGAACGGCCGTTCCTCGATCGTCGACGTTTCGACGATCTCGCGATTTGTTGCAACCGTCGGTCGACGATGCGATACAACGGCGCAACGATATAAAGAGGAATGATTTATTAATAACGTAATACAAAGCGCACCCCGCGTCGGCAATTTTTGCCCCGCCCTTTTTCCCTTTTTCTCTCTCCACATCCTCGTGGAAAGTCGTATTATTTCCGAGTTAACAACGTTCTTTAATCCTTATTGCCCGCCGTTCCCTGCTGCGCGATAACGCAAAATTAAACGTGCGCGCGCATGCACGACGACGAATGTACGCGGAACGACCTGTGTTTTATGTAACGCAGTCTCCAGCGTAATCGGCTAATTCTTTATGAAAGTTTCGCGAGCACCGAATGACCATAAACAGACTTTAAATTTAATCTCTTTTCTGATTTTTCTTCTCTCTCTCTTTCTCTCTCTGCCTCTCTCTGCCTCTCTCTCTCTCTCTCTCTCTCTCTCTTCTTTTGCCCACGGGACGTGCGCGCGACGTATGAGAAAAATTTACTTCGACTTCGAAAATGCCGAGGGAGATCATCATCCGCCGTAATTTCTCTCCCGACCTCAATACTCGGATATATACCTCCCTAACGAGGTCCAGAGAATTAAGATTCTCCACGGAATAAAGTCCACTCCAAATTGAACCGGCGACTGATGTGCCGTTATTTATTTGCGTCGCTGAAAGCGTAATTCGCGCAAAGCCTTTCATTTGCAGAGGGGGTCCCCGTAGCCCCAGCAACCGGAGTGAAACTTTTCACGGCGCGCGCGGCGTGTCCTCTCGCGAACGTCGCGCGCAATCGATTTCGTTTTATTCCGTTTTATACACCGCCCGCCCACCCGTCCATTTGTTTCTCGCACGCCCGCGCGATTTCGATAAGAAATTCTTCGCGAGTTTCCCGCGAAGTTCCCCCTCTTTCCCGCGGCGCTCAAACAGCCGCGTACCGCGCGAGAGCAGTTCGTAAAAATGGTTCGATTACAAAAACGTCCTGGAAATATAAAACGCTCGTTTGATCTCCTACCCGGCGGCTCCGTTCGCCACCGGACGAAACGCCGAAACGCATTTATTACTCTCGTAATTATACTCTCGACGAGGATACATCCCGCTTAAACGCATCGCGTAATAAGCGTAACATAATGTAAAACAATGTAAACGCGTAATGTAAGTGCAGCTATTAAATATACATATTCACAAATGACCGCGGCGAGGAGACAGTGAAAATCATAAAATTGACAGAACGAACACTCCATTACTCATTTATCAAGTTTCCCAACACCGTGAATCGTTCATCGTTTACTGGGAAGTTCGTAACTTCAGAGCCGCGCGTCGGGGTACGTACATATATACATACATGCACATATGTACGCACACGTACTCTCCCTCCCCCTCTTCGTTCCCCCGGTAAATATATAGCCGCTCGTACGCGAGCACCAACTTGAGGGTGAGTACACCTTTCGTAACATTAATAGCGAAAATGTGTAACAACGTGAAAGAACTTCTTATACGTTACAAACGAGATATACGGGCCCACATGTACGCACACACGCATACGCATACAGTCGGCAAGCACGTAGCTCGTGTACGAGCGTTCTCCCTCGCAAAGGGAAAATTTCATTCGCGATCTGCCCGCGCGCACTTACCAAATCCGATAAACTCTCGTCGCCGGAAAATCGTGCGTTAAAAATAAACGCGCCACCAAAAAGGTAAGTTCGAAGGGGATGCAGGTAGTTGTGCGAGTAAATATTTACCTGCCACGCCACACCGCGGGGGAGAGACCGCGGTAGCGAGCTGCTTGGGCGAGGATGCGATAGGACGGCGGGGCAGGGGGGAGAGTGGCGGGCGGGAGGGAGGGAGAGAGAGAGAGAGAGAGAGAGAGAAAGAGAGAGAGAGAGAGAGAGAGATTTGCCGCCGCCCCGCATACCCACGTTAAAATACATATCAGGATTTCCATGCCAACCCGCAGCTGCTTTCTTGGTACTCTACGGTTAATCTTACCGCGATGCACAGTAGATTTCATTTCTTGGTATGCTTTTTTTATCACTGTACAGCAATACAGCGCGCCGCAAATCCGTGCTCGCGCGCGCGCGTTTCAACGGCGACTACTAATTGCGAGTTTAGTGAATTACGTCACAACGTCAATCTTTAATTTGGGGTCGAAATTGGGAAACGTCAAGCGTTAACGTCGAGCGCGCGCGCGCGAGCGAGCGACCGTTTCCAATGTTGTTTTGAAAGGGGCTGTCGGATCAAGCGTCACTCAAAAGTGGATTCCACCTTTGAAGTCTCGCCCTGACCGATATGTAATTTCCAGATGTGTATCACCGCCGCCGTAATGAACGAGATAAATAATTTAATGTAATTTGCGCGCGTACACGCGCGCGCGGAATACCGATATGAATTCTAAAAATTCCGCACCGTTTCCGCCGAAGCGGAATATTATCTCGCGGCATCTCGATTCTCATTTATCCGTCCTGTTTTAATTCTGTTTTACGTAATGTCCAAGTCCCGTCTCGTCTCGTCTCGTCTCGTTTCTCGTTCGCTATCTCTCTAGGAGTCCTCCGCTGCGATAATTATTACCCCCCGGTTACCGAGAAAAAGATTTATCTAACGGGAGCGCGCAGCGATCGCCGCCTCCTCGATTCGATTTGCATATTGATAGATTGGCTCATTGACTCGCGGGTTAATTGCTGCATAAATCCGTATTTTGAGCGAGGCTAATGTTAAGACCGACTTACTACAAAGTTGGAACCAAGTTTTGGAGCTTACTAAACCCACTATGATATACCGTCGGCATTTCACTCGGTTAGAACACATTACTGTCGCGCGACTTCCGTAAAGGGGAAAAAATATGCAATGCGATGCAAAGAGCGAGAGAAAGAGAGAGAGAGAGAGAGAGAGAGAGAGAGAGAGAGAGAGAGAGACAGAAAGGGGGGAGGAAGGACGGTTTACTCGTTGCCCAATTCGTATCCATAATTAATGCTATTAACTTCTTTTTCTCTCTTTCTTCATCCCCTTTTGGGAGAAAAAAAAAGAAAACGTGTGTAATTACTGTCTGCATGCTTGCCTGACAGACTCGGCCTCGTAAATCTGCTTTTACCGTCGATATATTACGCATTAATCGAACCGGAAATATCTCGGAGTAAATACGACGAGGATGCAGGCGGTCGAGGACCGCTTAGTGACGAACAACCGTTGAAATACGGGCGGCGTATTATCAGTTTTTCATTATTACGCATTGTGTGCGGTAAGTCAGACGATGAATTATTTAAAGTTACCACACAGCGATCAATATTAATGTCGCTTCAACATTCCACAGCATTTCAATGTTACCGTGTTAATTTTAATAGCTTCCCCCACCCCGGCGCCAACTTCCAACACGACGCGCTTCTCTTTCGGTCGAATTAACGAAACACTCAAGCCGTAAAATTCGACCATGCCCTTTCCATTCGATACCTCGCTATTTCCGCGCGAGAAGCGCTATGAATCTTCGAGAGAATTTTTCGCGGATATTTCAGAACGCGGGAGTGTGCGGGAATTACATCGGAAGGTTTGATCGCGATAAACGTCCGGTGAAACTAATATTTCCGCGTGATAACGAAACCGACCGACTGAGCTCTCCAATATCCCTTCGCCGTCTCCTCCTTCCCTCTCGTTCCCTCTTTCTCTCGTCTATTAATAATCCGTTCATTTATTCATATAACCGGCCGGCGCGCGCGCGCGTTTACACACGCACCGAGAATATTTGCGATCGCGTTTTTTAAACTGTCTTGTATTTCGCGCTCCTATACTCGCGCCCGCTCTTCTCTTTAATTCAGCTCTTCTCTTTAATTCTCTTCAATTCAGCCATAAGAATTCGATGATCGTGCGTGTCGTCGTCGACGATCGACGACGACACGACGATCGCGCGAATCGATCTCCTCGGGCTTGACTCACCCGAAACCAGCAGACCGAGGGTCAACATTAGACACCTCATTGTTTCTCTCTCATAGTCGTTTCGGGGCACGCGTTGGTCGAGGATCTATCTCCCACTCGCATCCGATCCCGATCGATCCGGAGGAACGACGACCGACCGTTGCGAAAGTAGCCGAGCGCGCGAGTTTCGCACTTGACACGCGAGATCGGCGCAACGTGCCGGAAACGAGCGTTTGCCGAAGTGAGCGAACCTGAGGGAGCGCAGCTGGAGGAGCCAGTGAGCGAGAGAAAGAGGAGAGAGGAAGGAAAGAAGGAGAGAGGAGAGAGAGAGAGAGAGAGAGAGAGAGCAAAGAATTACAGAAAGAGAGAAAGAGTCAAGAGAAGAACCAAAAGACGACGTCGACGATCCGTCGACGGACGACTCGACGGCCTCGGTTTTTTATTCTCGTTTCCACGTTCCATGGCACCGTTTTGTTGTCCTCACGCGTTCAGCTTTGCGACTCCGAGTTCACCCCGACACAATTTCATCGTGACGCGGTCGCCGCCGACGCGATCGTTACTTTCCTTTTTCCCTGTAGCGTCCAACGACCCGCATAGTCTCCGCTGTGCTTGCTCTCTCTCTTTCTCTCTCTCGCGCTCCCTCCCTCCCTCCCTCCCACCCTCTCTTTCTCTCACCCTCTGTGTCTCTCCCTCGCTCTCGCGCTCACTCGGTTCGCTTAATTCGCTAATAGCTTCGCGATCTAGATCCGCGTAATTGAAAAGCGCCGACGGGGCGTGATACGCGCATCATCCCCTTCGAAATTCTAGTCTCCTCTCGTTGCCGTTTTCACCGCTTTCCTTCTCTGCTTCTCCTTCCTTTCTTCCTCCTCCTTCTCCACCGTTTCTTCTGCTCCTTACGCTGCCGCCGGTGCCTTATCGCACCCTCGGCGAAATCGCACGCCAATCACTGTCGCTCATCGCTGCGGCGCCGTCGGCCGACAACGCGACCACGGGAAATCCCTCGCGCGCGCGGTGCCGGTGTGCGAACACGCGTCTCGCCAACTGGGAAATCGACCTGCGCCACAGTTTACGCACTCTCCTCCGATACTCCCGCGAACTTCACGGCGTGGCGAATGTACAGCATGTCTCGGCACGAGGGTTGAAAGTCAATCCTCGCCGGCGGCGGGGACGGATGTGCTAAGAAACGCGCGTCCTTTCCTTCTTCCCAGAGACAGGTGTGTCTGTCGGTCTCTCTCTCTCTCTCTCTCTCTCTCTCTCTCTCTCTCTCTCTCTCTCTTTCTCTTCCTCTCCCTCTTTCGTTCTTCACGAGGCAAGTGACACGTCTCTTGTCGCGTGACTTGTCGCGACTCGTAGCGTCTATCGCTCCAGTCGATCTCTCAGTGACGATCGACAGCCTCTACTCGCAGGCTACGATGATCCCGCGGGTGAACGACTAGGCAATCGGGGTGGTAGCCGATCAGACGCGAAGGTCACTCTCGGTAGCACGGATATCCGAGCGAAACTGAACGGAACTGACAGTGCGTGCGACGCGGCCTTGCGCGTCCCGGTCCTGCGCGTCCCGGCCCGGGAGAGACGCCCTGCCATCTATCCTCGCACACGCCCCGCTCTCTCTCTATCCACCACCTTCTCTCGTGCACCCCCGAGGGTGCACGGTGTGCGCGAGGAGATGAGGGTGATATTCCTAGCGCAAGCGTATCCCTCTTCGCTTTATCGTTGCCGTCGCGCACGCTCCCTCCCTCTTCGCCGCCTCTCTCTCTCTCTCTCTCTCTCTCTCTCTCTCTTCTTAAATAAATCGGTCTCTCGTGTTCTCGCTCGCTGTTTCTCTCTCTCTCTCTCTCTCTCTCTCTCTCTCTCTCTCTCTCTCTCTCTTTCTCCCCCCAACCTCTTCGCCGACCCGTACACAGCATCCCCAACCGGGAATCCGGGAATCGAATACCGCCCCGAGATACCACAGCGCCGATTAAACTTGGCAGTGGATTCTATGGGATTCATCTCGCTTTTTTTCTCTCTCTCTCCCTATCCCTTCCTCTCTCTCTCTCTCTCTCTCTCTCTCTCTCTCTCTCTCTCTCTTAGCGGACCCGTCAGCTAGTTCTTGTCGAGTTTCAGAAGACTCGTCCGGCTCTCTTTTCCTCGGACAGACGGACGGGAGCTCTCTCGTTGAAATGCGCGGGGGATTATATTTGTACGCGTCTCGTGCTGTTTGCCGTCGGAATTATATCTCTCGGCTGCCGAACGACGCTGAATTGAGGAGATGCGATCTCGAAGCGCGAGTTGGTCGCGTGGAAATGCGAGAGAGCGGTTTAAATATCGCGCGGAGCGTCACAGAATTTCTCGTCGCCGCCGCCGACTTATTTTTCTCTCGCCCGCGAATCCCTCGCTTATCTGTGTTTATCGGACGAGAAGGAGCAAAGGGAGAGAAAGAGTGTGTATGTATGTATGTATATGTGTGTGTGTGTGTGTGTGTGCGCGTGTACGTGTGTATGTGCGCGCGCGTGTAATAGTGTGTGTGTGTGTGTGACGTCCGCCTTTTATATTTAAATAAGACGCGAATCGACAAGAGAACGCGTCGACACTCGAAGGGATTTTCCGATCGGATCGGATAAAATTCGTAGCGTAGCCGTACTCCGGTTAGCCGGAACGTTACCGCCGAAGCCGCGAGAAAGAAACCCTCGAGAATCCGATTTAGCTTAAAAAAGGAGGGAGAAAAGAGAAGAAAAATACCGAGGCTATCGACGCTATTCGAAAGAAAACGGACGATTTGTTGTAATCATTTTTATTATTGCAACGTGTAATGTCGACAATGCTCGGATAAAAACGGGACCCTCAATATCCTTTCATTTCTTGCGATCTCTCAGAACTTGTATGGCCACAGTTAGGCAACGGTGGATTGGATGTGTGTTCGAAGGCTTCGCGGCATCGAGCGAATATATCGCGTTTGGCCGGCTCACCCATTTGGCCGCGTTCCGCGCGTGTCCGTTTTAATCGTGCTCCCTCCGAGTTTGCGGAACACGCCTTGTATTTTTGCCATAAATGTCACAAAAGCGCGCTGGGATTCGTATCTCTCTCTCTCTCTCTCTCTCTCTCTCTCTCTCTCTCTCTCTCTCTCTCTCTCTCTCTTCCGCCGATAGTTGCGTCGCGGTAATGTTTCGTTCGGCGAAACGGTAATCGGCTTATCGAGGATGCTCGTTTACCTTCTCGTTTTTCGATTCTCGTTATTCCGCTCTATTATCGCGGGATCGTAATGAAAATCTCATCCTTGTTTCGATAAATAAATCTCACGCACGAAGAATGCCCGTCGTTATTGTCGTTGATGCTGTTGTTGTTGTTGTTGTCGTTGCCATCATCATCGTCGCAGCAGTCGTTGTCGGATCATAATTGATTCGAGCGACAATTTGCCGAACTGGAATTCGACGTATTTCCAGAGCGCGCGAAGCGGCGCAGAGCGGCTATTTTACGCAAAGTTCGAAACGGAATGGAATTGCTCACGAATTGATAACAAAAAACGACGCGCGCCTCGCGGCATTCATTTCACAAATGTTCCGTGTGTTCCAGGAATGGAGAAAGAAAAAAGTGAAAAAAGAAAAAAACAATTAAAAACCGCACCGCCATGTATTGCTCACCTCTTTCCGTTCGAGCAAAACTGCTGCGAATGTTACGAACTGAAACGCAAAGCGAACTCGCGAGCGTTCATTAATCGCTTCTCAATAACCGCAGTGCCGTTGCGCAGTCTATATTATGCAGTTTATTTACGATAGATCCAAAGCAAACGAAGCAACGAAGCAACGGCGATGCACTCCGAGGCTGTGTCTGTGAAGACGTTAGAGTACGTCGTTTTTTTCATTTTTTTCATTTTTTTATTTTTGGACGCGTCGAAGGCGGAACATTTTTATATTTACAAAAAACTGTGAAAAATACTACTGTAATTGTACTTTTATCTTTTTCATATTAATAAATTGACTTCACGGACACTGTGCAATTGATTTTAATCGCTTTGAAATTTATTTCGTGAGTCAAAAATTCGAAGAGTAAATATATTGAGAGAGCAAATAATTCAGGAAACATTTTGATGTCGCAATTGTAGGAACAACTATTTTATTTGTAATACGCTGTCCCTATGTATCGCATTAACAAAAAAAAATTTAACAAAATAATCTCTTGAGTGCAAGTAGTAGCCAAAAATAGCGAATAATTTAAAATTTATTAATTTTGCACTGTGGCTTATTATTACGTATACTACATGCTATTTTTATAATGGTTTAGTAGTTAAATCTTAAACTATTCGTATCTTTTATGTGGTTGGAGCAAAGAATTATTTTTGGAAATGAAGAATAGCAAAAAATTAGTGAATAATTTTCATAGATAATTAATTGTGTTCTGCTAATTTGGCTTAAATAATTTAATGTACCTAAGTAACTGAAAGTGTAATGTTACTACAATAAATGATAATCTCATATTGTATATCGCTTTCTTTTTCAAACAAGAAGATACAGTTAACGTCGTGTAAATGATCAAAATGAGATATATAATACAGATATAGTGAGATTATAATGAGATTAAACATTGTTTCTCTCACCGCATGTATCCGTTATTAATCGTTTAACAGCGTTGTAGATTCAAAAGACGTTTTTACTCGATTGCAATAACAAATAATTACGCGCGATATGCCGCGAGAGTTATTATTTTATTTATGGTTCCCAACGACTGCCGAGTTATTACATGGAAAATACGGAATTGGTAGAACCTACCTATTGGTAGAACTCGACTGGTGTGCAAACGATCCCCGTTCGTTTTTAAAAATAAACGCACGCCTGAATTCAAGCTTGCAGATTAGACACGTGAGACACGCGGCGAAACTCACGCGGGAGAAAATATGCGTGTTTTTTTAATCTTTCTGTTTCACCGATAGCAACGTCGCGCGCACGCGCGTGTATGTTCTTGTGCATTCCACGTAATCACGAATGAAACCTATGAATTTAGAAACAGCTCTAATTAAGCGCTGCATATTTCAGTATTTTAATACGCACACGTAGTCGTAATTTTCCAGTTAGATTACGCGAAGAATTTCATATGAAAATATTTCGAGATCAAATGTTACAAAACAGGAGCACTAATAACATTTTGTTCTATTCGCGCGATGTGTGCGATATAATTTCATTTGCTAATCGCGAAATTAATTAATCATATCGGGTGATTTAATGACGAAAACGCACCTACGAAATAGCATACAGCATACATCGAACAATAAACGCCGAATAAGACCTAATTAACTTGTAAAAATAAGGTAACAAATAAAAATTTAATCGACTGTGCGTCAAATTTTCCTCCTTGGGAACTTTTCAATCACGCTGAATGTGCGATCGGAAACAATCGAACGTATCGTACACAGCCGATAATAAATAACTCACAGCTTTTATTAGCTTTGTAGTTTGTATTTTAATCGATAATGTTTGATTCTGATTTGTTAGACAAATATCTCGAAGCAAGGAAGAGACAACAACGAGCGCGGAAAAATGTACACTGAGTAAATAAAAAAGAAAAATGGGGGGGAGAAGAGAGAGAGAGAGAGAGAGAGAGAGAGAGAGAGAGAGAGAGAAATTATACCGCATTCGTTCAAATCCAGCCATGAAATATTGTTCATGTGCGAATATCGATATGAAACGAGTGTTATCGATAGGACACAACTCGATAGGAACTCTCGAAACTGATCGACCTCACATGTATTCGGCGCGAGAGCTTGGTCTGTTCTTTTCTTCTGCACCGCTGCACTAGTGCAATAAGTTAAAGTGAGACAAATATATATTTGTCTCACTCGAACTTATTGCTCTAGTGCAGCGGTGCAGAGGAAAAGAACGGACCTCTTGTCAACAAGTAGTCCTCGTCACGTAGGGTTAGGTTATGTTTGCCAAAGCCGTGTTGTAACTTAATGTTATTTCAATAGATTTATCATTAGATAAACATAGGTATAGATATATCGGAATAATAAATATACATTTATAACATATACAATGTACACATGAACATAATGTTAGGTCATTTCTAGATAGATCCAGATAGCTTCTAGTTAGATCTGATGTTCAAATAAGACATCAGGCGTCTATCTTATTCATTTTGTGTGTACGTTAAAGAATATCACATCTTCGTGACAATGTAAGCTGCGTTTCATGTCTGCGATAGTGCCTATCGCAAACCGGAAAACCAAAAAAAATTTCGTCACGATTTTGCTCTTTTTTCCAGAATGGACGATCAAGCGTGTCCACGATGCAAGACCACCAAATACCGAAATCCGTCGTTGAAGATGATGGTCAACGTTTGTGGCCATGCATTGTGCGAAAGCTGTGTGGACTTATTGTTTCTGAAAGGTTGGTCTAATCCTATCGCTTATTTTGTTGTCTTTCATGCAGTATACACAATAGTATATCAATGAGACTATGCAATTAAATCATTCAGGTTCTGGATCCTGTCCGGAATGCAAGATTCCTCTGAGAAGGGCAAACTTTAGAATTCAAATGTTCGAAGATCCTATGGTGGAGAAAGAGGTGAACATAAGAAAGCGTATCCTACGAGACTACAACAAGAGAGAAGAGGACTTTGCCACATTGAGAGAGTACAATGATTACCTGGAGGAGATCGAGCACATAATATACAACTTGGCGAACAACATCGACGTGGTCGAGACTAACAAGAGGATAGAACAGTACAAGAAAGATAACAAGGACCAGATAGTGAAAAGCAAGTCTAAACTTGGTAGGAGCGAGTACGAGCTGGAGGAGATGCTGGAGTTGGAGAAGCAGAAAGATGAGGAGAGGAGAATAGAGCTCGTCCGCCAAGAGGCCGAAGCCAAGAAGAAGAAGATCCGCGAGAAAGAAGCTCTGATAGATGAGCTGATGTTCTCCGAGGGGAACGCAAGTAGCATTGTCAAGTCGTTCGCGACTGCCATCAAGTCGTCCAAGAAAGAGGCCAACAAGTCCAGCTCCACCATGCGAGCTACACAGTTCAGTACAGGCATTAAATTCGGCAGTCAGAGCGATCAGAGTTATCTGTCGGTACCAAAGATAGAGGAAGGCCCTCTTTATACTTACACACCGATACGACAACCAAACGACGGCCCGACACCGCCTAGTTTGCGGGAACTGCAGTCTCGCGGATACGTCTCAAACATACGCAATGAGTCTCTGGCCGAGAGAGCTGGTGGTTTCAAGGCGCATGTCGCGTGTCTACGAGCACTGCAGGAGGCGATGGCAGGCCTGTACCACAATCCTTCGCAACGCCAGACGGAATTCAATGACGTATGACCGCGTAAATTATTTTATCCGCAGGACGATCGCGATCTCGAGCGTCCACCGCTCTCTCTCATCGCGACTGTTCTCATCTGGTTGGCGCTGGTGACTGATGTGACGAGATATGTGATTATATTCAACACACAATGGCGATAAATCGGGAAAATCGTTGCTTTCGGCTCGTCGCGTCAAAGTTCGGCTCACCAAATCGTGAGGGCGGAATCGTGCCTTCGACGTAAATCGCGATATGCGTATTCCTGGACATTAAGTCGATAAATCGATAGCTTTTTTTGCTCTACGCGATATCGTTATCTGAAAATAGTGAACCAAAAGCGTGGGTGTTGTGCATACGCTAACGAATTGCATACGACTGTATGATGAACGTTCAGACTCTAATCGGTGCGTGTGTTAATTTACCGAAATCGATGCATATATAATACGCCACGTTATCTTGGCCGAAATTACATACCGAAGCAACATTATATTATCGCAGACAATCTTCCACTTCCTCTGTCGAATGTGTATCCTGGTATAATTTTATCGTTTCTATCAGTTGAAATAAATCCTACTATCGAGTTAATTTAGAGTAACGAGAATACGATTATTTTCCTGATTAAGATTAAATTGTTGACTTTGGTCTCTTATAATCAGAGATGACATGAAAATGTTCTATGTTTATGTCTTATAGATTATAGACGAGTTTTTTTGAAGATTGAAAGGCAAGGATAATATCAGAAGTCACCAGCATTACCTACTATTTTTCCACAAAACCGTTGATTTTTAATTACATGTGTGATCTGAAGTTACATTATTTAGGGGAAACCGAGTTCTTGTATATTAAAGATATTAAGATGTATATTAAAGATGTATTAAAAATATATTAGATATAATATAAAGATAAGATATGAAGGTATATTAAAGATATAAGTTCAAATTCATTCAGCGTATCAATGAGAGAAAATTTCAACGTCTGTTTCAAGCAGTCACAGTTGCAATCATGCTCTTGCCACATTTAGGAATATTCTATCTGCTTTTAATTTATCCTTTTTATCTTAACTCTTGCTCCCAGCAAAATGCTTTCTCGACTTGTATATACCAAGTACATTGACCGCTTTAGGGCAGGTTGTTCCAACTCCTTGGTAAGTTAACTGATAGTTAAATCATGTGTCTGTCTTTGTCTAAGTTGAGGGAAAGATAAAGATAAACATATGATTTAACTATCAGTTAACTTACCAAAGAGTTGGACCAACTGACCCTTAGACTTGGTTGAAATTCGCGGAGGAAATACACGACACGACATCTACCACGAGAATCAAGCGCGAATCGTCGCGGTCCCACTCTGTCGAGATCCCTACTTTATCGATGTGTAAGTTTCTCTTACCTTTCTCTTGCCTCAAGGCAAGGCGAGTCGAAGGCAAAGCACAGGCAGCGATTCGAATTCCAAGCTCCCCAAATCGCCATGGCGCGACGAGCATTGCGATGCTGCGATACTCCTACAATTCAATGGCACAACACTTCACTTGACACTCATGATAACAATTTGCACTTTGAGCAGTGGACCGCCACAATGTAGCGGTCGCACGGCATTTTCCTCGGCGCTTCCACAGACACTAGATTCCTCCATTCACGAATGCCCGACACTTTATTCCGGTTCACTTTGCTCCTGATGATTCGCGCTACGAACATCGCTACAATGTTACGGTGGCACCTATGGTATTTTCTTCGCTTACACAGATCACTTCACGAGATATTCACTTCCGATCTAACGATCTAACGATATTCCTTCATCCAGGAACACACAATTCTTTATGCCGGCACTCCCGACGATTCACAGGCGAAATTTAGCTTCGCCTGCCGAAATCGCGAAAATTCGAGAGGAAATTAGAGAGAAAGCAAAACCGCATTACCGTATCGCGCTTCTTCCTAATAACTGAATATTTACCAGCCGTTATATCGAGCTAAGTTCAAATTGATTGGACGTGACGTTACAAGAGCGCCACTGCACGGCAGTTCAGGATATCTCACGACCTTTCGAACGCAGTTCCCGAATTCGCTCCGTATTCGCCGCGATCTTTTGCACGTCCACAACGCGTTCCCGGTGCTAAACTTCAGAGTTTAGCGTCACGTTTCACCATGAAAATCGGTTCGAGCAGGTATCGGATCAAACAGGATATGTACGTTTGGTCGAGTAGCGATCGGCTTTACAATGGAGAGTCGGTACAAGCAGAAACAGGTACGAATATCTTCGTGCCAGTACTCGGCTATTTGTGAATATTTGAAGAATCATCGTCTGTAACACCCTCTTGTGCTTTGACGACCCCTTACGTCTTCTATATTCGTTTTCTTTCATGTCTTTAATAATCTTCGCGTTAATTAGTCAGCTATGAAGAAAAATACTCGAATGTGTGTGTGTGCGTGTATGTACGGATGAGTGTGATGAATGTGTTCAGAGTGTACCAACCGTTGCAAGCCAACTTTCGCATCACGCCGATAGATGGCAATGTTATTTAGTTATTTAGTGATGGGTAAGATTGAATGGGCAGATGCACATCACGTCATAAATTTCAGCCGGCTTATCGGGAAATGTAAATTCTATCGGAAAATCACAGGAATTCATTATTGTTACTGATCTTACGATTTATATTTTGCCAGTGAAATATACGAGGCGGTATTAGGATGTCGTACGGCTGCAACGTGTGCAATATGGACGCGTATATATGGTATATATAGTAGTATGTTTTTACATTTTGCATGCGCGATATTGTAAAAATTGTCATAATTGCGACAAAGATGTAAAACGTAAAATAATTTGTAGATTATTTTACTGAGCGAAATGGATTCTACGCAATATTTCGCGGTTGGAAATACGCGTCTATTTGTTTTATTCTTCCAGTTTAACGTTGATTTGTTTGCAAAACCACTTGAAGGAATATTTGCAATCTATTATTTTATTAACCGATGTTATCAAACAGAAAGTTTTAAACACGTTAAAATTTTGAACACTTCTTTAACATTCGTTTTGCATCGAATAAATTACAACATATATTCTTTTTTCGAAAATGTAAATATCTCGTTTCACAAGAAAGTACACGTTACAAAATATATCAATTATTTTTTACTGACTATTATCGCGATTCATCATTTGGCAGTTCAACGTGTACAAATGTTATCGAATTTTGTAATAGACAATTTATTATACTGGTACAGATAGAATAATTCGGGCGAAATAAAATTAAACGAATTTAATTGTGCAAACATAGTTTTGGTCAATTTGTTCGTGACAAAATAATCATTACGTTGATGAGCACGAGTTGTTCATATTCTCTCGTATGGTTCTCTCATATGGAAAAACGCGGTTTTTGCCATCGGAATCTTATGAAACTTTCCATAATAATTCATACAATTCAATCACGAGTATCCAGTATGTTTAATCGTTGAATTATAAAAAGACGTGAGAGAATAAAATAGAAAGAAAGAGACACTTTACTCTTGCATAAAAGAACCGCCAATTGCCGTTAACATAAATTAAAGCTTACAATACAATACACCTATACAATACACAACCTATACAATACACAAAGTTGAGAAAACGTTGCTGCAACGTTGCAGCAAATTGCTGTAACTTTTGTGCTGTATGGGTTAAAGTCATCGCACACAAAAAGACATGTGCATAACATAAGCCCGCCTCGACCAATGAGCATCTAGGAAAAAATTGCCATGTTGATTTACAGAGCGTAACAAAACTTTTTCTTAGACGCTCATTGGTCCAAATGACGAAAGTTACGCATACGCATCTATGTCATTTTCTGCGCAATGGCCCTTATATTGTGGATACTGAATGGTGTATCATTATTGACTAAACAATCCCGTTCGTTACCAGTTCGCGACAAATCGATTTGAAGGAAAATAGGAATCACTTATTTCTATTATCATAACATAAAAAAACATTATTCTTTTTTACATGATATCTTTAACTTTTCTTTCGGTAGCGCATTGTGCGGATATTATTTAGATAAGATACGTATTTTTTTTCGCAATATGCATTGATCCAGATACATTTGATATTGTTTTTAATATCACGAATGACAGCATATTTCCAGTCTCCCTCTTTTGTAGCAGTTTAAAAACAAAAAACAAATTGCTCGAACTTGACATTATTACATCATTAAAACCCGACGAGAGTGACGAATCCGAGCAACCTGTTAACATGATCGTCGAATACGAGCGGAAGCTCAGAAACGAACGTGAAATATACTCCTATCCTGTTCCAGAACACCGTCTCCGTTCAGGAGTCATCCGAACTCGTTGACGAGAGCGGCTCGCGACCACGACGCGGAGGAGAGACACCGCGCGATCAGCCGCCGCGCCGCGCCGCGCTGGAGTCTCGCAGTGATGCAAGTCTCACGCGGAGAGCAGCGCACGAGAAGCACACGACGCCAGGAGCCGAGAGAGCTCGCCGAGAGGACGAATCGCGGTGGAGCGAGTGGTACGCGCTCGCACCGGTGATGGGACGGTGCGCCGAAATGCTTAATTAGCGTGAGTGGGGGCCTCGGAGGCTCTTCGGCGACCCGACCAATCGGCGCGGCTGCGAGCGACGGTGTCTCCGCCCATCGTGAGAACCCCGTTGCCCTTTCCGCGTGACTACCGGCCACAGTTCGTACGCGAGCGTTCACGAAGCGTCATTTCGTACGCGTCGAGTCCGTGCGTCGAGACGCGCGCGCGTCCTCACGAGTCTCTTCGCCGCCGCCGCCGCCGCCGCCGCGCGCGCGAACGCCAGCAGCCGTTCGAATCGCCGCCGACGTCCGTCATTCTCTCTCTCTCTCTCTCTCTCTCTTTTTCTCTCTCTCTCTCTCTCTCTCGTTCCCTCTTTCTCCGTCGTCCTCGAGATCGATCAGATCCGCGGGAGATTCGCGTCCTGACACACACGTCCGGCCGCGTCGCGTCGCGTCGCGTCGCTGGAAACATGTAAAGACGCAACAGCGGTCGCGACGGTGAGAGAGAGAGAGAGAGAGAGAGAGAGAGAGAGAGAGAGAGCTGAGAGCGAGTAGTAGCAGTCGCGGGGGACGAGAAGGTCTCGTGGCTTGCGGTCGAGGGGCGAGGAACGCGAGAACGCGAGCGCGGCGCGCCAGGTAAAGTGCACCGCGACGTTGCCGCGGTATCGGTCCGCGCGTGCGAGAGATCGTTCGATCTATCGTATTCGGCCCATCGTTCGCCCCGCGCGCTTCGCGGCGTTCTTCCGTTCGTCCGCCCGCTCGCTCGCTCGGTCATTCGTTCTTCCGTTCTTTTCGTTCGCTCGCGTCGATACCGCTCGCGTACTCTCTTTGCTCTTGGAGAAAACGTGCGATGCGAGTCGCCGTTGTCGTCGACGCCGTGCGAACCGATCGTCCCCGTCGGCGCATGTAAGAATGCGTGGCTAAGGGGGAGAAGGGAGCGTGTACGCGCCGCGTAACCTGCTCTCCGTCCGTCCGTCGCACTTCCACGAGGGGAATTCGACTCGGCAGATTCGGCGGCGGCGAGTCGGCCGAAGAAGAGGACTCCACACGGGATCGCCGACGCACGCACGCACGCACGCACGCACGCACGTCATGTCGACGGGCTACCTGCTCCTGTCTCTGCTGATCGTCGCGTGGCAAAGCGGCGCGCAAGCCAACTGGTGGTGAGTCTCGTCATAAATCCCCGTGTTTGTTATCGGCCGAATGACTAATTGTCACCGAACGGTCCGACACGGGAGCCTGGGGGGAGGGGGGGAGGGCTTTTTGTTTAAACGTCGTCATTTAGCGCCAAATATGGCCCATCACAGGGCTCGATCGGCGCTGCGGCTCCTCGTGCAGCCCCGACGAGCAGTGCGAGCGGCGAGAGCGACGCTGCTTCGCTTTTGTTATGCGATGACACGAGGTTAATAGACGAATAGAAGGAGATGTTAAGAGGCGGCCTGGTTTCTTGCCACCGCGCACTCGCTTGTTTACGATCTCGAGTGTAGTTATGCGGGAGGATGATACATTTTGAGAGATAAGGATTCATGAATGAATATAATTGATAGAACATGAAGTTGGACGGAATTCGCTGATCACAAGTCGCTTCCGGCTGCGAGTAATAACTTCGGGCAAAGATAGCGAGTATTTGTTTTCTTTCCAACCATTCGCGCGAAAATTCACCGGGTATGTCTATTAGGAACGATGCATTAATAATGAACACCCTCAAGTGTACAATCTACTTTAGAATGTTTAATACGAAGACAGATTTTTGAAGAAAAAGAAAGCGGAAAGTATTATTCATGATTCAGCGCGACGTTACACATTCTTGGATCTTTAACGAATATAAGTCGTCGTTGACTTAACGAAGATAGGATAATCGCATGGCTATATCCTGCTGGAAGATCCTGGTGACTTTAACATAATCATAAGTTGCTTCTATAAAATGTATCATCTTCCCCTCAGTATCGATTCAAGATCTCGATTGAGAGTCATCCGAGATACGATCTCTTTCTCATAATATCAAATAATAGTCCAGGAAGAAGCAGAAAAAGTAAGTCTATGAATAATTTATGAAATAACTTTATCCTTTGCACTCCTGTCGCGACTGATCTCTCTTCCTCCAAAACACATGAGGTCAAGTCGAGAGTCGAAGATTCTCAAATTCTAAAGATTCTGAAAGTGAACGCCCCAAATGATATCGCAGTCATTCGCCGTCCTCGCGAGATCGCGAGGACAAGTTCGCGGGGGACGAATTTATGGATTTATAATAACCGCTCCGGTCAGAGGTCACGCGTGGAAGCTCCTGAAGGCGTCTATTCCTGGTAATTTCCTCCGGGAGCGAGAGCAAACTCGCCCAGTTTCTCTCTTTATCCGAGCACTTCGTCGCTCACGACCGACCGGCCAACCAGCCGGCCGGTCAAACAAATGCAGACGAATAATGTCCGAGGCGAGTCCCGGACAGTCGATTATTTTTATTGACACAGTTCCGCGCGCTCGCCGGTGTTTTCCGCGTTGCAACGCGTCGCGAATACATCGCGCGACGAGCGAGCGACTCCGTCCGCGGGGAATACGACGTCGTCTTCGTTGTCGTTGTCGACGACAATCGCCAGTTTTCTTCGTCATTATTTCTGCACTTCCCGAAAGCGTCCCTCGAGATGACTCGAGGCGCGCGTGCGAATTCAAAGCGGCGTTTAACAAGCAACGAATTATATGTTAAACGCCATTCAAGCAGAGTTCAAGGTTCAGGGATTCAATTCGTGCACGAGGAGATGCTATCGCGGGCGGTCTCTTATCGCGGAATACTTTTCTCACCTTCACACTCGACGTGTTCCCTCGCCGCGCGACGTGCGCTAATTGGCGCTAATAATCATACGCGTGTCGGCGGTCGTCGTCTCGGAGTAAACACAATCGACGGCAATTCGAAGAGCCTCTCACAGCATTTCCTGCCGCTTGGGGATCGCAGGAAAACTCGGTAACATAATTTCCATGTGGGAACGTAAAAATTCCCGTAGGAGATCTCCGTACAGCCGATTGTTCTCAGGAGATCTCAGGCGAGTCATAACGCAGCCGAATGTCCCGGGCGAGCGTTCTCGTTACCGAGTTTTCCTCTGGTCCCCCATTTTATTACATACGAATTGAGATCTTTTTTTCTTTCGCGCATAATAGACGAAATAATCCCCTTCGATCGGACGAACCGCTGCGAGCTAGATCGGAGAGAAGCCCCGACGGGGTAATAGTTACTACGTGAGCGCACCGCCGCCGCTGCAACGATGGTGGCGGCGGCGGCGGCGGCGGTGGTGGAGGTGGCGGAGGCGGTATACTTGTATGTGTATGGGCAACGCGACAAATGTATCCCTACGATTCGTAAATGAGGCAGGACCGTTTCTCGATCTCGCACACTCGTCGGGCATCATTTTCTATCTTGAACGCCGCGTCGGCGGCGAACTAGTTGCCGCCGCGGTGATTAATCGCCCGTTATACGCGCGCGTGGCGAATCCTTCGATTAGGGTCACCGATAGCCCGACATACCGCCGGCTGTCGTTCGCTTTTCTTCCTTTTTCGACATCGGTATCGCTTCGCTGGATGAAGGAGACGACGCTTCTCGTGTGTAACGCGCGCTGACAGATACGTGGAAATGTTCTTTGTGTTCCGAAGACGATTTGTGGATGGAGCTCGAGGCACTCGGTCTGAATCGTTGAGTGTATATCCTGGACGTCTCTGATTTGCATTTTTGATTAATTCCCGATTAATTTAGCGTCATGTACGGCCCTCCTCCGTCGATACTTGCTAACATTTTGTGTGTGATGTGATTGTTACACTGAGAAAAATATCCGAAATATCCGATTGTTAATTTCGTTATCCGATCAAATATTTAATCGGATGTTTGATCGGATAACAAAATTAACAATCGGATATTTCTGATATTTTTCTCCGTGTATTTTGTACCGACAAGGAACATCCGCGAAATGTGTGTCTCCGATTTCGACGAAATTTGGCATATTTGTAGAATAGCCAAAAATATAAGACCCGTATTTTTTTATCGGCAATGGCGCAGATTTAAGGAGTGAAATTACCCCGCAAAGTTTCATCCCTTTTATGATATCTCGATAACTGGTGCAGATAGAAAACTTTTTAAACAAAAATTGTACGGTTTTTTATGAAAAATAATATAAACTTGGTTAAAATAAAAAAATATTTTTAATAATTAACAAAATGACCATATCGGGCTTAATTAATCAATTTACCAAATTCATTATATAGAAAAAAATGTTAGCATTTTTCATTCTGAATCCATCTATATATAATGTTTTATATTTAAATTATGCGGACATTGCAATTTTATAAGTGGAAGTGATACCATAAGCAAGGTGCTCGGTGATGTGTCTGAGCGCTTAATCGCTACATCGCTATGCAAATGGCGAACATCTATTTACATTTTTTGAACGCATTTCAATTAATACCACAATATAAAATAATTCAGAAACTATTAACACATTCGGCGGGCCGCCGAACATTTCTTTGACTTGTAACACATATCCACATCACATTTAATATAATAAGTGTATTTAATATAATAACGAGACGAGAGAGAGAGGTATGCATGTGAGTTTATATTGACATATTATACATATATGTACATAGAGATATTACAATTTTAAATATTTATTAATGTCCAAGTATGTCTCTTGCTCTGCAATAAATGTAATGTTTTCTATATATTCATGTGTAATATTCAATAAATTATCCTTCAATTCTTCTTCATAAATATTCACCGGCGTATCTTGCTTGTCTTCTATATTAAACGAGGCTAGAAGCAACGCATTAACATTAAACAGATTAATATGCACCATTTTTTTACGAACATGTTACAAGCACCTTAACGTATAACAAGAAATATCTCACCATGGAGTATTTATACCGTTACGTATCTGTAACGTGTTATTGCATAAATGTTTCGTAATAATATAAGCATCAAGAAGAAAATAATATTATCTCATTAAGCTGAAACTTAAAAGATGTCACACAAATAACATCAAGATATAAAAAATTTTTATTAAAAACTAACTGATATCGCGCGTTCGCGCGATAAATCTACAAGTCAATAACTTGATAACACAGTATTAATAAGAAAATAATATTCTATCTAATTCATAAGTTGAAAAATGAAAGGAGGGGTTACCAGATATAATTATAAAAATGTGAAAAATGTTTATTACAAAGAGATTGATATCGCTGAGCGATGAGTTTATAAGCCAGAAAGTCACAGATATTTTTTATTAAATCGTGTTTACAAAGCTGATTTCACAAGCAAGCATTAATATGCCTAATTTCCTTTACTAACACCTCAAAATTTTACCTGATTGTTTGCAAAATGACAGAGAAATTTTTGTTTTTGAATGTATCTACAATTGAGACTCTTGAATGGATGCATTTTGCTAACAATTATATGAAATTCTGAGATATTAATGAAAGAAGATATGATAATGCGGTGAAAAGTCATCTCTGTAAGCACGATTTAATCGAAAACGATTTCGACTTATTGACTTGTGGAATTATGGTACGAGCGACATCAGTTACTGTACAAAACAATTTTGTTATGATGGTGATATTTGATATTTTTGACCTTTTAGTTTAATTACATAATATTATTTTCTTCACATCTATGCGATAATACTGTATAATATATACGTAACGTAATACTGTATAATATATATGCCGGTGAATATTTATGAAGAAGAATTGAGAGATAATTTATTGAATATTATACATCAATGTATGGAAGACATCACATTTATTACAGAGCAAGAGACATTGCCGATAAAACAGATACGGGTCTTTTATTTTTGGCTATTTTATAAATATGCCAAATTTCGTCGAAATCGGAGACACACACTTCGCGGATGTTCCTTGTGAGTTATTTTTTATTTTTAAATTTTATACGTATTTCGTTGTGTATTATATTTTGTGTTTCGTTATTATTAAACATAACTCTCATCTACGGGTAGCCATTGCTACTCTTAAATATGAAACACGTTACTCGGCGTGATCGGCCGATTATTCAGCTATCGGTGAGCGCGCCGTGACCGATCGTTTTTATCCAGTCGGAGAATGCCGATAACGTCTTGGCTATCGGCTATCATTAAAGAGTAGCCTATCGACTAAATTGAGGAATATCCCTCCG